TCTTAAAAAAAAAAAAAGAACTCTAAATAAAGAGTTTTCCTTGTAGAAAATGTTAAAACACAATCTAGACCAATCTAGAGATGTTAAACTTCATAGAAAAAGTATTGTCATTGAGGAAAAGAAAGGCAGAGCTTTTCAACATATATATAAATTGATAAAAAGTGTTTTAAAATATATGAGATTTTTAAAACCTAGTATATGCTGGTATAATACTATTGGTCAATTCCAATTATTCTCAAATATGTGTGTGTGTGTCACAAAATTGAGCAAACATCCTTGTCTTTTGCTTTATACTATCATTTCAGGTATGGACATTTTCAAGTTTTTGTTATTTCTAAAGGTTACCTGCTGAACCTTGTCTTCAAAAAAAAAATCACAAAAAGTGACTGATAGTGTAGATGTGTTTTGAAACTAAAAAGGACTATCAGCCTATAGAAAAATTGGCTTTATAAAAATTACCAACAGAAGATCAAGACTTACTACATGGGACAAGTACACTGAGGAGAACTTGTTATAATATTGAAAAACTTTTTAAAAAATTGGTTTTTAATGTTTTGTTTTTTAATCTCCGGAAAATTTGTCTTTAAACTGGGCTGTGATCTTAGCAGTGAATTTGCATCTTTTCATGAGCAAACTGGAACATTGGCTTTTTCTCCTTTCTCATCCCAAGATATTTGTAGGCAGTATTGGTACTTCTCCGGACATGTCTATCTCGGCCTAATCTCCACGGGGAATTTTATTTATTTCTCCTTGAACTAGAAAATTGGAAGCTTGTTTTGTTACAAGGCTTTATTGAAATTCTTTAGCTTGATCTGAGCCAAGACGAGCCAAGCCGAGATGGGCCGTCACCTTGCTCAGCGGGTTCCGAAGGCCTCCACGGAAGGGGAGGCCGCTTGTCCCTGCTGGCAGGGCTGGAACAGCCCTGGGGAGAGCCTGGGGACCTCAAGAAGACGAAATCTCAGGTGCAGTCAGGTCAGACCGTGGCCTGGATTCTGGCGCCCGCGGCCTGGGCGTGGACACGCTTCCAGGCCTGTGGAGCTTTCAGCAAAGCCGACCTTCTGCTTGGTCATTCTGACCTGGGAGTTTGTGCGAATATCGGTAAAGTTGCTTAAAAGTAGGGTTAGTTCACTATTTTACAGAATTAGGATGAGGGGAGAGAAAAATTAGGTCTCGGAAACTTTTATGTTAGCCCCGGGCCTCCTCGGGGAGGGCGGCTCCCCAGCGCCGCCATCCGAGGAAGGGCAAGTCGTGTGCACCCGCGGCTGCCACCCCACCCCAGGGCCTCGACATCGTGCTGGGAACCGTGGCGCCAGCAAGCGCAGGCCATCCACAGGGGCCCCCCGACCGCCCCTCCTCGGGAAGAGCCCGAAGGCGGCCCCGCGCTCCCGCAGAGACGGAGGTCGCAGCCGCGCGGGCGTGGACGCGGTGACACGGCCGGTCTCGCCGCCCCAGCTGAGCAGCCCTCGCTGCTGCGCGTGACACGCTCGTCCCTCGCCGTCTAGGGACAGGGACGGACGCCCCTCAGAGGACGGTCAGGACGGCGGGTGCCCACCGGGCAAGTGGGCCCCCCCGGGCCTCCTACGCCCCGTCACAGGCCATGCCCGCCCTGCCCGCCTCCCCTCTGCAGACCCCCCCCCCTGCCGTTCTCCTGCTGTGTGTGAACCCCCTGCCCCAGCCCCTGTCCAGGAGCAGGACGGGCCATTCAGACGCGAGCCCGCGCCCTCCTGTTTGCCGGCAAATCAAAGCACCTTCCTCCTCCTCAGACTGCTCCCCTGGGCAAGGGAAGCTGAGGCCGGTTCCGTAGCACAAGGACCCCCTCTCCGAGCCCAACACCTCCAAAAATGACGTGGACCTCACCTGGAGGACAGCTGAAGCGCGTGTTTCGGGAAAGCAGCTTCAGGGGGCCGCGCAGCAGCTCCGCAAGGTTTTCCCGCCCAGAAGCCCCAGCCAGGGGTCAGCGCTGCCCCGCCAGGCAAGGGAGTGTTTGTGAAAGGCAGGAAGGTGGGGGGTGGGTATCTTGAAGGTCTCCGGAGGCTTTAGGAGCTGGGAACGCGTGGGAGGGGGTACGGGCCTGGGAGGGGGTACGGGCCTGGGAGGGGGTCCGGGCCTGGGAGGGGGTACGGGCCTGGGCGAGCCTACAAGGAAAAGCTCTGTGCAGTCCCTGGACTTGCTGTGAGAGTTTACGCTGGTTTCCCGGGTGTTGAAGTGTGGCTTTTAGTCTACAGAAAGGATGGACGTGCCCCACAGCCGCCTCTACCGGCTCGCTAGCTGGATGCTTAGGTAATCCGGGTGTCCTGGTGACCTTCTCCCCCCAGACTTGGTTAATCAAGAATCCAATCCTGTCGGCAATACTGAGCCTGTCAAAGAAATTCAGATCTACTAAAAAATCTTGTCACTCTGGGTCATTAAGTGCTTTATAGAAATCAGTAAGTTTACTGATCCTATTACGGCGTCCCTGGTGGTGTAATTCTAGACGAGCTGGGCAGTGCGGGTGTGCTCAGCCTCCCCTGGAGCACTGTGTGGGAAGACGGGGCACCTGCTCAGGCAGGTGGGGCTGGGGGGGGTGTTACAACATGGAAGATTCAGCTCCTCCTGCTGACCCCTGGGGGACAGCTATCTTGAAGCCCCCTTCACAGCAGCAGGGACCATGGAATCACCTGCCCTTCTCTCCCCCTGGACAGGGCCAGGAGGAGGCCAGTCAGGCCAACGAGGAGGACACGAAGGGAAGGCCGGGGAGGCCCAGTGATACCAGCAGCTGCCCCGGCCAACCCGGCCCCTCATGCTCACCCCAGGAGCCCTCAGGTTGCTCAAGGCTGCCTCCACAGCCAGCAGCAGGATCCCAGGGCCGACCCCTCCGGACATCGGGCACAGGCACAGGACAGGGACAGTCCCGCTCTCCAGACAGCTTGTCCTCCCGTCTGGCCAGCATAGGCCGGCCCCTCCCTGTTCTTGGGGACATTGGCCCGGCGCCCAGAGTTCCTGCTGGTCGGTCAGGCCAGGGTCCTGCAGGGCCCTTCACCAAGGGCTAAAGTTCTGGTCTGAGTGGCACACCGGGGCCCAGGGTCTGCTGAAAACAGCGGGCGGATAATGGAGGTAATGTGCTTTGACCAGGGGAACAACGGAGCCCCCAGGCAATAGCCCCTGGTCACCCCACCCCCACCCCCCTCCTCCATGCACACCCCCCATGCCCTTGCTCACCTTTGTCCCTGATGCTAAAAGCACAACCAGCCTGTGGACTGTGATGTCTCCCACTCCCACCCACTGGCCAGGCTGCCGCCCCCATGTGACACCCACAGGTGTGAGATCGGGGGTGAGCATACAGAGAAAGGGACGCGGAGTGTGTTCACGCAGGGAGCAAGGGGAAGGGGGAGGTGAGAGAACAGGAGATTCATCCACGGAGCAGAGACCAGGCCCCAGCGAAGCCACACCTGGCGGGGGAGACTGGGCCGCCTGGCAGAGGGCGGCTGGGAGCTGGGGCTGCACACGTGGAGGACAAGGGGGTGGAGAGACCCGAGCACTGGGGCCGGAGCGGCACATGTGGCCAGGAGCTAGAGGCCGCTGCAGCCCACACCCTGGCCTTCAAGTCCCTCTGCGCTACCCTCAGTCCCGGGGCAGCCCCTGCTCAGGATGCCAGGGGTGCGCCTGGGGTCTTCTGGCCCAGTGCTGTGGGAGTCCACGGTGCAGGGTGGGGGCCTGGCTGTCAGGGGCACTGCCCAGCCCGCAAGCCCCCCCACTCCACTGCGGCCTGGGGGTGTCCTCCAGCAGCTCGTCCTCACCCACTAACACTCGGTTCCTCTCAATAAGCTGGTTGGCGGTTCCCCCGGGTGACACTTCACGGGGGAGCGCGGCTTGATGGGCCTTTCTGCCCTGTGAACCCTCGTGCCCGCCTGCCAGGAGGCAGCAGAACTGAGGGGGAAGGGGCCTCTCCCTCCCCCACGTCTGCAGGCCCAGAGCCTGCCTCTCAGCTCAGCCTGGCACCCCGGCCCCTCCAAAACAGAAGGCTGTCGGTCCCCGGGGCCTTTTTTGGGGTTCCAGGACTGTGCATGTCCCTGGCCCCCAGCCCTGTCCCCCAGTCCAGGGGCCGCCTCGCCCTGGCCTCCCACTGAGCGGGCGCGGTGGGGGCGCGGGGCGCAGGAGCAGCCCCCAGAAGAGGAGCCGCTGCTTGGGACAGAGGAGAAGAGGCAGCCCCGGGGCAGCGAGGCAGGGTCGGGGCCTCGCCCACCCTCAGGAACACTTGGGGCGAGGCCCAGGCGGGCACAGAGGAAGGTTTCCGAGACGGGCGGAGAGACCAGCGCCTTCCCGCAGCACCCCTGAGGCCGGGGAGTCGGGGTCAGGCAGGGCCACGCCACGGGCCGTGGGCGCTGCGGTCGTCCCGCCCGGAGGGGTGGCCCACAGAGCAGCGGAGCCTGGGGTTCTTCAGGACGCGCCTCCCAGGCAGCCCCTCCAGAACCCGGGGGCTAGGAAGACGCGCACACCTGCTGAGCCCCTTTGCGCCCCAGGCCCCCTCCCTCCCCCTTCCCCCCCCTCCCCTCCATCCCCCCTGCCCCTCTCCCTCCCCCTGTCCCTCTCCCTCCCCCTTCCCCTTCCTCTCCCTTCCCCTCCCTCCCCCTTCCCAGCCCCCAGAGCCCCTCAGACCGACCCCCCAGTTCCCAGGCCCCCCCTGGGCCTGCTTCCCAGGCCGCTCCTCTCTCCAGCCCCGGGGGTTTGCGGCAGCCCCCAACCTCCCTCTCTCCCTTTGGGGTTGGCGCAGCTCCTCAGGGCACCCGCAGGGCGGTCTGCGTCACCCCACCCCGGGGGGGGGGCGGCCAGCGCATCGGGCTACAGAGCGCCCCCCCAAGCGCGCCCCCCGCCCCCGCGCGCCGCCCCCGACACCCCTCCCCCAGCGGCGGGGCGGGGGCAGTGGGACCAGGCGGCCCCCCCGCCCGCTTGTAGGTCAAGCTTCGCGTCCCGCGGTCGCCAGGCAACCGGCAGCGTCCAGGCGCAGCCAACCGACCCTGGGACCCTGGGCGCCGGCAGTGAGGGCGCGGCGCACCATGGACCTGGTCATCACGCAGGAGCTGGCCCGCGCCGAGAGCCAGCACGGTGGGCCGGCGACCCCGGGGCCACCCCGCGGGCCTGGGCGCCCCCCCCCCAGACCCAGCGCCCCGTCCTGCTCCTGAAACCCGGGAGACCCCCAGCCGCACGCCCCCCCCAGGCCAGCACGGGCAGCGTCTGCCCCAGCCCCAGGCTTCTCTGTGTAGCCCCCTCAGGCCACCCTCCTGCTCCCGGGCACCTGGGGGCTGTTTCCCTGCTGACGCCCACCCCGCTGGTGCCCACAGACGAGGCCGCCCTGAGGAGGGCCTACCAGCTGATCAAGGCGGCCAACCTGGGCAAGTCGGAGCTGGACCCGGTGGAGAGCTTCAGCCCCGACCTGTTCGTCCTGTGCGCGGAGCAGGCGCTGAAGGTGCTGGGGGGCCGGTCCTGCTGGGCCCCCGGGGGGCCTGCCCGGCCTGGGGGGGGCTCATCGCTCAGGGCTCCGCCTGCAGGTGGGACAGCCCCAGGTGTGCGAGGACTGCATCCAGATGTACTTCAAGGTGAAGGGACCCGTCACCCAGTTTCTGGGCCGAGCACACTTGTGCCGGGCCCAGCTGTGCGCCCCCAAGTCCACGGATGACCTGGTGAGCAGCTCTGCCCTCCCGGGCCAGGCGCAGCCTGTCCAGCCCGGATTCCTGGGTCCTCCCCAAACCCCATTCTGGGAGGCAGGGGGGTGGCAGCGCCGCCTGGCAGGGGTGCTATTTGGCTTTGCCCCAGGAGGTGCTGGCAGCTCCACACTCAGCTGGTCCTGCGCTCTGGCGCTGCCTGCCAGGACGGCTTCTGGGCGCCGCCAGGGGAGTGGGGACCTCGCCCCTTCCCAAGGCCGGGGCAGGGCCCCTGGGCAGGGCTCCTTGACGGGTCCTTCTCAGCACCCCTGTCCGCTGTCGCAGGAGCAATTCGAGAACTGTGTGACCCAGTACATGAAGGCCATCAGCTTCGCCAAAGGAGAGCCCAGGTGGGTGGGGGGCAGGCAGGGCGGCCTCTGACCCTTACAGGCTGGCCACTGCCCGGGCCCTGCCTGCCCAGGCGGTGTCCATCTGTCGTGCCAGGAAGGGCCCAGAGCAGGTTTTCTATGATGGGAGCAGACGGGCACAGGCGAGTCCTGGAGCCCCGGTGCTTTCTCAGGCTTTTGTTGAGCTTCTGCATGTGGTGCAGCAACCAGGTCCACGGCCGGCAGGCAGGGGCAGGGGCTCCGGGAGGCTGGCAGACCCCCAAGCCCGCAGCAAGTCTTCACTCTGGGCTTCTCTGGCCTTCTCTCCCCTGCCTCTGCTTCCCTTGGCCAGTACCTCTGCACTCCAGCCAAGGCCCACCGAGGTAAAGGACGCAACTCACAGCGTGACAGCTGCAGGCCCCATCAGGCAGGCCAATCCTAATGGCCGAGGGCAAAAAAGCCCGAAAATCATTTACCCTGCACCGCCCCACTTGCGACCTCTCTGCGGTGGGTGCCGGGTTTGCAGGGGTGCGGCCCTCTGACCCTGTCTGGCCGCGGCCCCACAGTGGTGCGCCTCGGGCTGGAGGGGGGGCGGCCGAAACTCCAGGAGCGTCAAAAACCTCATCACAACGAGCCGTAGCAACGCGACCCCCGATGCAGGAGCTCACCCTTGAAGGGGGCTGGTGCAGGCCAGGCTCCCTGCTTCCCCAGCCCCCGCTTGCCATGCCCGTGTGGGCGCCCCACCCAGGCCCGTCTCAGTGGGGACAGGCGGGGGGGCCATAGTGGGATTCTGGGGAGACCGGGCCTGAAGCTGTGGAGCTGGAGAGGAGGGTGGGCCGAAGCTGGGCTCTGAGGGCACCGGCGGATGGCCTGGCAGTCAGCGCGGCGGGCGGTCAGGGAGTCTGGGCGCCAGCAGGGAGAGGAAGCCTGGGCAGCGGGGCAGGCTGGGCTCCCTGGGGCCCCGGGCCTGCCTTTTCCTGGAAGTCTGGGGTGGAGAGAGCACCGCCAGAGAGGCCGTGCCTGAGTCCTTCCCCACACCTCCTCCGGGGTACCCCCAGCTAGGGACCTGCTCCCCCTGGCCATATGGGTGCCTCGGTCAGGGCACTGGGACGGGGCCACCTGGCCTGCAGCCCCGCCCCCACCCTGCAGCCCTGCTCTCCTGCGAGGTCAGGTGAACGCCACCTCCAGGAAGCCCTCCCAGCCTCTCCCACCCGCCCCGTCTGTCTTTCTCTCAGAAGCTGGAGGCCAGGCCTGTGCCGTCCTTTCGCGGGCAGCTGACTGTTTTGGGGACAGCGCCCTCTGTGGCCGGCCAGTGGGCTGGGGCTGGGCTGGGGCCGCCAGGGACTCACAGCTGGTCCCAGTTGAGGCAGGAGCCTGCAGGCGGCCTGGGGGCCTGTCCGTGCCCAGCGGTGGCCCTGCCCGTGCCCGGCGGTGGCCCTGCCGGTGCCCAGCGGTGGCCTGCCCGCGCCCAGCGGTGGCCCTGCCGGCGCCCAGCGGTGGCCCTGCCGGTGCCCAGCGGTGCCTGCCGCGCCCAGCGGTGGCCCTGCCGGCGCCCAGCGGTGGCCCTGCCGGCGCCCAGCGGTGGCCCTGCCGGTGCCCAGCGGTGGCCCTGCCCGCGCCCAGCGGTGGCCCTGCCGGCGCCCAGCGGTGGCCCTGCCCGCGCCCAGCGGTGGCCCTGCCGGCGCCCAGCGGTGGCCCTGCCGGCGCCCAGCGGTGGCCCAGCCGGTGCCCAGCGGTGGCCCTGCCCGCGCCCAGCGGTGGCCCTGCCCGCAGGTACCACTTCCTGGTGTTCAACGCGTCGGTGCTGTACTGGGAGATGGCGCGGCCCTTCCTCAAGCCCGGGTGCCGGCACCACCTGATCCCCAGCCTGTGCCACGTGGTGGCCGCGCTGGGCCACACGGAGGAGGAGGACAGGCTGTGGCGCGCCGAGCTGATGCTGTGAGCCCCGCCGCATCTACTATCTCTTTATAAAAAACACAAAGCTAAATGGGTGACAGCAGGCCCCGGGCAGGCCCCGGGCCCCTTCCCCAGCAGCCGGGCGGGTGCACGGAGGGCGCTGGGGCTGCTGGACGCTGGGGGGCCGCCCACCTGCTGGGAGGGGGGGGAGGTGGGGTGGGGGTGGGGTGGGGGTGGGGTGGGGTGGGGTGGGGGTGGGGGTGGGGGGTCGGGTCCTCCTGCCCAGGGCCTGGGGCGGGCGGGCGGGCGGGGCGCCCGGCCAGGGCCCGGCTCAGCCCCTGCTCCGCCCAGCGAGCTGCTGGAGTGCTACCTGGAGGCCGGGCGGCGCGAGGACGCGGCCAAGCTGTGCGCCTCGGCGGCCCCGTTCATCAGGGCCAGCGCGCCGCAGAAGTTCCGGCAGCTCTTCGCCGCCATGGTGAGGCGCGGCCTGCCCTGCCCGAGGGCCGCGAGGACATGGTCGAGGACGGCCGGGCGGGCGGGCGGGCGGGCGGCGGGGCCCGGGGACGCGGACAGCGCAGACGCCGGCTGCGCCCCGGCTCCCACCCGCGGATTCAGCCCCGGGGACCCCCAGGTGCGGCACGAGCTGGCGGACGCGCAGCAGCTGGACGCGGAGCGGCGCGCGGGGCTCGGCCTGTCCGCCACCTTCCACATCAGCGCCCTCAAGGCGTAGGCGGGCCTTGGGGGGGCGGGGCCGGGCGGCGGGAGGGAGGGGCTGGGGGGCCGCGGGTGGGGGGCGGGAAGCCTGGGGCGGCCGGGCCCCTGTGCCCGCGGGGGTCCCTCCGGCGGCGAGGCGAGCGGCGCCCTGGGCAGGCGGTCAGCGGGGTGTGGCCCGTCCCCTGCGCCCTCCGGCCGCCAATGTCTGGCTTAATTCTAGAAAATTGGACAAAAATGAATGCCCGGAAGACGTGGACAGGACGCTGCAGAAAACCTACAGGCAGCTGGGCTACTACGACCACCGGCGCTTCCCCGCCATCCGGGAGGAGAAGTACGCGCCCCCCCCACCCCGCGCCCCCCGCGCCCCCCCAGCGCCCCCACCCCGCAGCGCCCGCGCCCCCCAGCGCCCAGCCCCAGCCCCTGCCTAGCGCCCTGAGGGGCCCTGGTCCTCTCCCACTGCCAGCCCTGGGGGAGCCGCAGCAGGTGGGGGACACAGCCCCCACCCCAGGGCCCCTCTGTGGGCGGCTCCCCAACCGACCCAGGACCCGGGCCGCCAACGTCCTCATGGCTGCTCCTGCCCCCAGAACGCAGCTGCTCTTTGAACTGGCCCACCTGGCGCTGGTCCTGAAGCACGGGCGGTGGCCGCCGACTGCCTCTCGGACCTGAAGCAAATGGACAGCAGCGTAGGTGGCTGGAGGAGCCGGAGGGCGGAGGGGACAGGGCCACACCCCGCTGGCTGCCTGCCGCACCAGCTGCCCACAGGCCGCGGGGACCCTCCAGCCCCGGGGCAGCCCCCGGGCAGCCCCAGGCCCAGCGCTGGCTCCCCCTCCCGCAGCCCCCCGTCCCCAGGGCCTGGCCGAGTGGGGGACACACGGGGGTGGGGCATGCTGGAGGGAGGGCAGGCGTCCGCATAGCAGGGCCCTCGTCCCTCAGACACGAGCCTGTGCCCAGCCGAGAACATCCAGCGGCCATGAGCCCACCAGGCCAGGTACCCCGGCCGGTCAGCAGGGCTGGCAAGGGCCTCTGCGCACAGTGCCCTGCGGGCCAGGCGGACCTCAGTCCCAGCATGCCACGTGTGGGCCTCTCCAGGGCCTGGGGCCCCGGGGCAGCGCCCCAAACAGGTCATAACAGAGCCCAACGCCTGGGGCTGCCCAGGGCCTCTACTGACCGGGATGGCAAAGCCGGACACCAGGGACACTTGCGAGCAGCCGCTGCGGTGGGGCCAGGAGGGTCTTTGAACATCTCGAGCACAAAACAGTGGGCACGCCACAGCGAACACTGGCCAGCGGGAGCTGACAGACCCACGGAGCAGCAGGCAGGACTGGCCCAGCTGGGGCAGACTCAGCAGATGCCCCTCAGGAGCAGGGGTGGAGGAGGCTGGAGGCCAGGCCGAGCTGAGGATACACAGGACAGCGCATGGCCGGGACAGCAGGAGCCAGGGGTCAGCGTCCCCACACAGGCCGAGGGCACCCTAAACTGCGCTCAGGAAACATGCTGTTCATGGCCGAGGTGCAGTGGCCCTCCAGGCCAGGGGACCGAGGGGTCACAAGGAGCTGGGGTGCGGGACTGGTCAGCACAGGTGCTCTGGCCGGTGCATTTCAGCCTCCTCACTCCAGGGGCCACTGACAGCCTGGCCCAGAAATCCCCTGTGGCCAGGCGCCCACTCCTGCAGTGTGACCTGCTGGCCCAGCGGCCCGCTGGGATTCACGGCAGCAGCCCAGCCTGACCACCAGGGGCCAGTGCTGCAGAGGCGGACTGGCCACGGCCAGCAGGAGCGGTGGCCACAGCGTCTGGAAGCCCCGCCGTCACCCTTTGTTCTTCAGTGTGGGGTGAAGGGACAGCCCCGTGGCGTAGTCTGCTGCCCCTCCAGAGCCTCCCCACACCAGCACCGGGAAGAGGAGGCCCCCTAGGTGGCCAGAGACCCGCGCCCACCAATGCAGCAGCTTTCCCCGCTTAAGAATACAAGCGCCCGCAGCCTGCTCGCAGAAACCCGCGGCCTCCGCAAACAGCTCCAGTTTCTCTCCTCTGCTGTCTCATCTGTGATTTCTGCCCCTTGGGTGTCCTGGGGGCGAGAGCTGCACTGCTGAGGCGGGCACCGTGTGCGAGTCCCTCTCCATGTGCCCGCAGGACCCGGGGCAGCTGATCGAGATCGAGTGCCTGGAGTGCGAGCTGGAAGCCTCCGGCCTCGAGGGCAGGATCAAGACCTACGCCCGAGGGGCGGTGGAGGTGAGCCTGGTGCCCGGGTCTGCCGTGCTTCAGGGGCGGGGCAAGGTCAGGGGGCGGGGCAAGGCCAGCTCGCTACCTGGTGCCGGCCCCACCACACCAGGGTCCTCCGCTGGCTGGCCACAGCCCCTCAGGGCAGTGTCGGTGTGGGCGGGCCTCACAGGCCAGAGACCCTGGGGGTCCGGGAAGGGCCGGTGGATGAGTATCCCCATGCGGTGCTCCCACTCTCTCCCTTGCCTGTAGCCATGGGGCTGCCTAAAGGCCAATGCCGCCTGCCAGGGCGGGGCAGCTGGCGGGGAGGAGCTGCCCGGGGCAGTGGCAGAGTCACAGCCCGGTGGGGCCTGGCCCTGAACTGGCCCCACTGCATGGAGTGACCAGCCAGGGCCCCAGATGTGGGGTGAGCTGGCCGGCGCCTTCAGCGGGGCCTGTGTCCACAGGCCCAGCTGCACATCATCCAGAGGCTGGCCGCGGCGCTGGAGCGGGCCGTGCGGCTGGGCAGCACGCGGGCACTGCACGTGGTGTGCGCCGCTCAGTGGAACCTCTGCCTGCCGCTGCTACAGCACAACCTGCGGCACCACCTGCGCAGGCCGCTCGCCAGCATCGCCGAGGTCCTGGAGAAGGTGGACAGGTGTGTCAGCCTCGGCCAGGGTCCCGAGGGCCTGGGGCATCCTCCTGAATGGGGCGCAGGCTGCGGAGCCCCTGTGCTAGGACAAGGCCACAAGCGCCCACAGGTCATGCACCTGCACCTGCATCTTTAATGGGTGGGTGTGGTGTGTGCTCAGAAGGCCGGCCCAGCAGGGGAGGGTGCTGTTGTAGGGGCTGTGAGGCCTGCAGGGTCCCCGAGAGCCCCTGAAGCTGACCTGCCACAGCCAGGCAGAGGGGGCACCTGGGTGGCAGGCTGGCCGAGGCCCTGGACACGGCTGCTGGGAGGCCTGGCCGCTGACCAGGGCAGCTCTGCTGTTCGTGAGCACAGATGGATCCAGTGAGAGGCCATGAGGGAGGCTGGTGGCGAGGCGGGCTGGAAGGGCTGGAGACAGGGCTGTCATGAGGAAGGCCCGCGGGGGCTTGATGGGCATCTAGTGGGATGTGACCGGCGGGGAGACTGAGGGCCTGGTGCCCAGTGAGTGCCCCTGCCCGTGAGAGCTGGGTCCTTCTGTTCACCGAGGGTGGGTTTACTGCGGCTAGGGCCTGGCTGGACGGGCTACTGGTGGGGAAGGTTTTGGGGCATGGCAGTCTCCACCCCCCCCCCCGCATCCAGCAGATGCAGCAGCAGAGCCAGCAGGGACCGTGGCCACGGGGTGGGGCGTGGGAAGAGCCTGGGTGGCAGACCCTGTCTTTGGGTGTCACAGGGCAGCAAGGAGGTCGGGACTGCTGGCAGCTGGGCTCTCTGGCTGAGCGCGCTGCCTGGCCTCGGGGCCGGGCCGCAGCACCCGCCTCTCACCAGGGCCCCCCTGCAGCCTCATGGTCCTGCTGCGCTGCCAAGTACACATGGAGCTGGCCGAGCTGGACGAGGACGAGGACCGCCTGGAGCCCGCCATGGTGCACCTGCAGAAGGCCCTGCGGCTGGACAGCCTGGGGCTCCACAGGGAGACGCTGCTCATGGCGCTCAACCGGCTGCACCTGTGCACCGCGCTCTACCAGACCCCCGAGCACCCCGAGGACAGGGCCGTGCTGGCCATTGAGCAGGTGGGCACCTGGCTGGGCCGGCGGGGCGGGGCTGGGCTTCTGTGTGGGGCCAGTGCCCGGCCTCACGGCGCCCGCGCAGGCCAAGAAGGCCATGCCCAAGGACAGCGTGCGGAAGAAGCGGGCCCTGCTGGTGAACGCCGGCCTGGCGCTGGCCCCCGACACCTTCCAGATCGTGCTGGACAGCGAGAACGAGGCCAAAGGTCAGCGCCCCGCCCTCCCGCCCCCATCCCGAGGCGGGTCACCCGCAGGGGCTGCCCGGGCTGGCCGGCGGCCGCTCACCCGGCTCCTCTCCGCGGGTCCTCGAGCGCGGGCGCCGTCCTGGTGGGGCCGGTGGGGGCCGCCCTCGCCTGGAGGTGACTCCGGGGAGACCCCGTCCAGGTCTGGGGTCCCTCCCTGGTGCCGTGGGGAGCACCGCGTCCCCCATGACCCTGTGCAGGGCCCAGGGACAGCCGAGGCCCGCGCCCACCCTGCCTTCCGCTGCGGGCCGCCGGGTGTCGGGGACCGCGGTGGGGCGCGCTCTGCGGGAGGGCGGAGGGCCTGGCCAGACGCTGGCCGGGATGTGGGGGTGCGGGGGGGGGCTGGGCGTGTGGCCCGGCCTGTCCTCTCGGGGGGTGCAGGATGGCGCCTCTCGCCCGCGCCCAGCAGGCCCTCGGCGCGGGGCAGCAGGGACAGGCCCTGGTGGGTGGGGAGCCGCCGGGCAGGGAGGTGAGGGCCCCCATGGCCGGGCCCCCAGGGGCACGCGGCCCCCCTACCCCGTGGAGAGGGGCGCGGACGGGCCGGGCCCTCGCAGCCAGGCAGGCGCAGCCCCCGCGCCGGAGCCCTGAGTGGGCCCCTGGCTTCCCGCGCCAGTGTCCACGGGGAAGCACGGGGGGCGGTTCAGCCACCTGTTCGCGAAGGCGCGGCACCACACCGTGTGCGTGGAGAAGGCGGCGGGCCACCTGAGGCGCCTGGGGGCCAGGAACCAGCAGGAGAGGTGGGTGGGCCCGCCGCCCTCCGGCCCCGCCCCCGGCCCCGCCCCGCCCCGCCCTCCGGCCCCGCCCCTCCGGCCCCGCCCGCCCCGCCCCTTCGGCCCCCCCCCCCCGCCCCATGCCCGCCCTGGCCCCGCCCGCCCTGGCTCCGCCCCGCCCACCCCGTGCCCTCCCTGGCCCCCGCACTCCCGGCCACGCCCCTCCCTGGCCACGTCTGCCCCTTCTGGCCGCGCCTCTCCCGCTCCGTGCCCCTCCAGGCCCCGCCCCTCCAGGCCCGCCCCTCCCGCTCCGTTCCCTCCCTGGCACCGCCCCGGCCACGCCCCTCCCCGGCCACACCCACCCCTCGCCCCGCCCCGCCCCGCCCTGGCCCCGCCCATCGTCCCGGCCCCGCCCCTCCCGCCTGCCCGGCCGCGCTCGCCCAGCGCTGGGTCTGCCGCAGGATCCAGATCTGGGCCGAGCTGGCCAAGGTGGCCCGGAAGCAGGGCGTGTGGGACGTGTGCCGCGCCGCCTGCCGCTTCTGCCTGCTGTACGACGGCGCCAAGGTGAAGAGGACGGCGCGCGGGAAGCGAGGTACGGGACGGGCCCAGGAGACTCGCAGCCGCCCCTCGCCTGCGGCTCCCGGGGCTGGGGCGCGGGGCCCCCACACTCGCCGTGGGGCCTGGGCACATCCAGGCCACAGGGACCCTGGGGCAGCCGGCCGGGGGGCAGCTGGACAGCCAGTCAGAGGCGGCCGGCTGCACTGGTGGCCCCTGGTGGGCCGCGCGGGGCGCGGAGGCGCCGACCCGCGTGCAGCGGGACGGACAGGACGACAGCAGAGGGGAGGGCGATCTCCGAGGAGCCGGCACCGGGGGGCCAAGCGGGGCCTCCATGTGGACCGCGTGGACAGGCCTGGAGGTGGCCCTGGGGACAGCCTGGGCGCCGCTGGGGCTGAGGCTGGTTTCCAGCGGGGCACCGGGCTGCAGGCCCTGCAGGCTGTGGGTGCGCTGGGGGGGCGTGTCCCGGGCGTTGGCTGGGATGAGGTGTACAGGGCCCTCAGGGAGCCCACAGCGGTCCGGCACCCTTGTCCTCAGGGAGGAAGAAGCGCGGGGGAGAGGGCTTGATGCTGGACTCCCAGGGGCAGCTGGAAGTCACCCTGCAGAAGCAGCTGCACCCCGGCCTGCTGCGCAAGCTGGCGGAGGTTGGGTTCATCAGTGCCGAGGTGCGTCTGGCTTCCGCAGGGGCTGGGTGCTGGTGCCATCCCGCAGGGCAGGGGCGGGCGCCTGGGGCGGGTGCCTGGAGTGGGCCTCCGACAGGCCGGTGAGTGAAGGGTGGGTCAGCCAGATGTGCCCACCTTGTGCCTGCCCCACGCTGCCTGCAGGCCACTGTCCAGTTGCTGCGGTCGGAGGGCGTGGAGCTGAATGACCGCCCCACACCGCCCGAGGACTCAAGCCAGCACGCGGCCGGCTACACGCCGGAGTCCCCTGAGGACAACACCGAATGGCTTCTGTACAGGTGCGCTAGGATGTGGCCGCCTGTGTGTCCAGGCCGGGGGCCCTCAGCACAAGTGTGCCCTCCTCCAGCCGGCCCCAGGTGCCCGTGCTCACTTGCACGGGGCACCAGCTAAGCATGGCATGGACACTGGAAATGGCTGCAATAGAACAGAGGGTCATGCTGTCGCCGGCCCCTCCCGTGCCTAGAGAAGGCCAGCCCCCGAGGGGCGAGCCCGGGGCGGCTGGGGCTGATGCAGGAGGGCCCTCTGATGCGGGTCGCGCCCCCAGGACCTGGATCGAGAGCCTGTCCCAGTTCGCCATGAGCAACTGGCTGCGTGCGGCCGAGATCGGCCAGGAGATCCAGGAGGCCTGGGTGGTGCAGAACGCAGTGACCTACGTCCTGAACCACAACCGCCACCTGATAGCGGCCGGGCGGCAGAGAGAGCTGGTGGACGCCCTGCACCACCTGCTGACCATCGTACAGGCCATGGGCTCCCTTGGGTGGGTGCCTGCTGGCACCTGCTGCCAGGCCAGGGCGGGGGTTCAGGGCCGGGTGCTGGCCTGGGAGTGGGGCCGTGGGGGCCAGGGGTTGTGGGGGCACCTGGGTGGGGTCCGCTCAGCACCTCCCCCACAGGGACCCGGTGTTGCTGGCCATGCTCTGCAACACACTGGCCCGAGGCTTAATCATCAGCTGGATCCCCACCCACACGCCCGAGAAGGCCAAGAGGCTGGGGCGGCCCAGCCCATCCCACCTGCCCCTGGACCCGGAGGCCATCTCGGAGGTCCATACGGCCCTGGAGGTGACATGTGTGGGCAGGAGGGCACGCTGGGCAGGGAAATGAGGGCCCCCCTGGCCTGGGGCGGCGGAGCTGGGCGGCCTGCCCGTGGTGGGATGTGGCCCCGTGTGTGGACGCCCGCCGGGGCCAGGGCGCTGGGCCTCGCCCACACTCGAGGACACTGAGGCGCAATGAGCTTGCTGGGCGAGGAGTCGGGCGCTGCTCCCCGCGCCTGTGCTGTGCCACCCACCCAGGCCACCTAGTCCCCCGGCAGCCTCCAGGGCTCACGACAAGCGGGGCTTCCAGGTTTGCGAGTTTGCGCTGAGCCTCAGTGACGGGACGGTGCCCACCCAAGCCCGGCAGCAGCTCATTGCCACCTGGGTGAAGACCAAGCAGCTGCTGCAGCAACAGATCGGGCCTCGACTGGGCGCCGAGGACCAGGTGTGGGCCCCGGCGCCCTCTCGGCCCAGCAGGCCTTGCGGGGTCAGCCCCACTCGTGGGAGGGAGTGCCCAGGGCGGGCCTCACCACTCAGGCCCATGCCACCTTGGGTGGGAGTCCTGGGGAGAGGCGGGGGCCGGGAGCCTGCACTGGATAATCCTGACTCCCGAATGACCCCACCCCCCCAGGGTGCCAGCGAGGACAGCAGCAGTGTGGCGCGGGTGCTGGTGGCCCTGGAGATGTATTCCTGCAACGGGCTGGGCCTCATGGACTTCATCGTGCCCGCCCTGCCCCAGGTGGGGGCCCCCCCGGAGCTGCCCTCACTCCGCCCTCGCGGGCCACCTTGGACCCGCCCCAGGTTGCCGGGTATCCAGGCCAGCGGGCGGGGCCCAGCACAGACACCCGACCCCAGGCTGGCTTAGAGCTTGTTGGGGGTCCAGAAGAGCCCACAACCTCTCCTGGCAGAGCCGCTGTCCTGCAGGCCCCAGAGTGTTGCACACTTGGGGTGCTCCTCTGTGGGCAGCAGGACAGTGTGGACGTGGGGACATCTGTCCCCTCGCTGCCCAGCCCACTGGCAGACCTGCTGGGTCTACAGCAAGTGTGCGGCCAGGGCTGGCATGGTGGGCACAGGCTGGGGGCCGCGGCCAGGCAGGTGGGCAGCTCCCCTCACACCTGCCCCCGCCGCTGCCCCCGCCGCTGCCCTCACAGGTGGTGAAGATGGCCACCGAGAGCAGCTGGTCAGACCCCGTGGTGGAGCTGCAGGCACTGACCAGGCTCACCCATTTTGCCTATGTGGCCCGGGACCACGAGACCACCATGGCCTGCTCGCAGAGGGCCATCCAGATGGGCATCAGGCACCTGAGGACGCTCAGCCCGTAAGTGCCACTGCTGGGCCACTGAGCGTGGGGCTCCAGCCTCCAGAGGCCACGCCACACCGGGGCAGCGCAGGGGAGCAGACGCTGGGCTCCAGAGTGGGCGTGGACACTCGGTGCCCAGGAAGGCAATGTGAGTGCTGGGCACCAGGACAGAGGTGTGGACGCCGGGTGCCCAGGACAGGGGCGTGGGCACTCAGCGCTGGGGTCATCATCCTAACTTTGGCAGAGACGCGGGCATCTTGTGGACAGCCCATTTCTGAGGAGCTCTCCTGGCACCCTGGGGCCCCAGTCTTCGCCCAGGTGCGGTGGCTACTCTGAACTGTCCCTGCATGCTCTGCCCACAGGGGGGTGGCAGGAGCGTGGAGGTGAGCAGGGGCGACAGGTGGCAGACCACCAGGACACTGCAGGGTTGGGGTGCTGTGCAGTTCCTGGGGCAGCAGGCCCAGTTGGGGGACCTCAGGGAGAGGGCCTCTGTGAACTGGGGGGATGCTGGAAGTCGGGGATCCCTTGGGAGTGGCAGATGGTTCTGCTGAGACAGCCCCGCCAGGCAGGCTGGCTGCTGAGGCGCCGGGCGCAGGGAGGAGCTCCCGAAGGCGGGGGGGCCCCCACAGCTGACCCCGCGCGGCCGAGGCTGGGTGCTGCTGCTGTCTGGCTCAGGCTGACGTTTGCCGGGGTCTCTCTGCGGCGGCTGACGCCCGAGGGCGTGTGGCGCAGAAGCACAAGCACCAGGCTGGAGCGGAGGCAGTGCTGGGCGGCCTGGCGGGCGGGCGTCTGGGGCAGTGGCCCTGCGCTCCCATGGGTCCTCGCCGACCAGGGGAGCGGGCCGAGAAGCACTGTGGGAATCGGCCTGTGTTCCCTGGGTCTGTGGGCTCCGCCGCGCAGAGCTGACGCCTCCCCCCGGGGAGCCGGGCCAGGGAACGGAGCGCAGGATCTGTGCAGGAGGAGGAAGCAGGAGGACTCCCTGAAGGAAGCGGCAGGGCTGTCCAGGCTGAGGCGGGCTGGGGAGGGGGCGGGCGCTCCAGTAAGGCACGTGCGTCTCTGGTCCTCAGAGACCTTGAGCCAAGCATCCTTGTAAGACAGCAGCTCTCACCGCGGGGGAGACAGGAGCACACCTCCCCTCCCGGGCGCGGTCCAGGCCTCCGGCTCCTGGAAAAGCATCTGTGGCGGGCGCTGCCCTCTAGTGGCGCCCGGCGTCCCTGCGGCCGGCGGGAGCCTGGGGCCTGCACCCCGCACCCCGCCTCCCTGCGGTGCCTCGAGTCCCTGCTGTACTGACCGGGGGCCGCATGCCGGCCCAGAGTGGCTTCGGGCTCCGTGAGGATGGACTTCACGGGACACTGCGGAGGCCCTGCCTGGGGAGCGGGGCCTGGGTGCCGTGGCCACCGGGCAGACCCCTCCACAGACATGCGGTCAGCAAACTCTCCTTCCGCGGCACGCGCCCTGCACGCCGGCGTGGGTCTGTCCGGTCACGGGTCATTTTCACGGCATCATGTCGCAGTAACAGTGACGGTCGCTGGGAAAACAGTGCCCCGCTGGCCAGTGCTCTCAGCTGCGTGTGTAGTCAGAACGCGCGTCCTTCCTGCTGGGAGCCCCAAGTTAGATGAGAGGGACCGGCTCCCAAGTGCTCCCCAAGTAGCCGCAGGGGGAGCGCCGCCACGGGCCCGGCCTGGACTCACCCAGCTCTGTCTCCTCGGCGCTGTGGCCCAGGTGGGCGCTGCCCGCAGCCTGTCCGGGGGCTGTAAACCCAACGGCGCCTATGCAGGGCCTCCCCTGCTCCTGGCCTCAGGGCGCCAGACCAGGCCGGGGAGTGGGGCCTGCAGGGTGCCAGTGAGCCCGAGGGGTCAGAGGGGACGCCGGTGGGGGGGACGCTGGGGGCACTGTCCCTCCCGCGGGAACGGACGCCGGCTGTTGTCTTCTGAGGGTGCGTGGGCACAGGCATCTGGGCGCCTGTGTGCACTGGGAGGCCCCCCCGGGGTGGCCTCGACTTTCCCTTGGTAGGGACGGTGCAGAGCGCGCGGGATGGGAAAGTGTGGGCCACCCAGATTCGGAAACCCCTCAACCTTCGATTCTCCGAGGCACGCTGTCCTCTTGGCAGGGTGCCCTGGGCTGCAGCCAGTGAGAAGCCCAGAGGTGCAGAGGGCCGGGGCACCACGCGGGTGGGGACAGACTCCGCCGCAGGGCAGGCGCCAGAACGCAGGCCAGGGGCAGGACTGTGAGCTGTGCGGGAGAAGAGGCCGCCCCGGGGCGCCGGCGCCGCCCCTCTGGCCCAGACTGGCGCCCACGCAGCAGGCCGGCACCCTGTCCCCCGGCCCGAGCGCACGGGCCTCTGCTCCGGGGCGGGTCCTGGCGTCGGGGCCTGGCGGCGGGAGTCCCTGTGAGGACCAGCCCGGGGTCGTGGCGCTGCGCGGGGAGCCCGCTGGCCCGGGAGTGTCTGCGGAGCGCAGGCCGGCCTTCCGGTGGCCGCGAGGGGAGCAAGGGCCGGGCCGGCCAGTCGGCAAGGGGTCTGGGCGCGCCGGGCGCCTCGCGGGGGCGGCGGCCTCGTGCGCAGAGCCCCGTGCGCTGAGCTGCCGCTGGCCGGCAGGGCCGACGCGGCCCTGGTGGCTGAGATGCTGAGCGCGGCGGCCTGCGCCCAGGGCAGGAGCATCATGGAGCACCTGAAGGGGAGGAAGCAGCTGCGCCTGGCGGCGTCCAAGGCCTTCATGGAGAGCGTGAGGTGTGTCCAGGGGGCGGGGCGTGTCCAGGGCGCGGGGCGTGTCCACGGGGTGGGGTGAGTCACGGGGGCGGGGCGTGTCCACGGGGCGGGGCGTGTCCACGGGGGCGGGGCGTCACGGGGGCGGGGCATGTCCACGGGGCGGGGCGTGTCCACGGGGCAGGGCATGTCACGGGGGAGGCGTGTGTCCACGGGGCGGGGCGTCACGGGGGCGGGGTGTGTCCACGGGGCGGGGCATGTCCACGGGGTGCGGCGTGTCCACGGGGCGGGGCGAGTCACGGGGCGGGGCGTGTCCACGGGGCGGGGCGTCACGGGGGCGGGGTGTGTCCACGGGGCATGGCATCACGGGGCGGGGCGTGTCCACGGGGCGGGGCGTCACGGGGGCGGGGCGTGTCCACGGGGAGGGGCGTGCCCACGGGGCGGGGCGTGCCCACGGGGCGCTCTTGGGCCGTCCCCGTGGGCGTTTGGGGTCTGGGTCTTGGGAACCGGGCGCCGGAGCCGCGCCCCAGCCCACGCCCGGCCCGCAGGTTCGGGGGCCTGGCGGGCAGCGGGGCGCTGGTGATGCAGGGCGCGCGCCACTACTGGAACTCGGTGCTGCCCGCGCTGGGCTCGGCGGGGGCCGCAGGCAGGTGCAGGGCGCGGTGCAGAAGGTGGTCGGCATCATCAACAGGACGGAAGCCGGAGAGCAGGTGCGGCCCGCCGGGCGGGGTGTGGGGCGTGGGGGGCTGGGGCGTGGGGACGGGGGTGCGGGGCGTGGGTGCGGGGCGTGGGTGCGGGCGTGGGTGCGGGGCGTGGCGGGCGGGGCGGGGCCCCCGCTGGGCTGGGGGCCTGGAGCACAGGGTGCCGGGCGGGAGCTTCCTCCGCGGCCCGAGGGGGGCCGTTGGGGAGGGGCTGGCACCTGCTGCAGGCTGCCTGTGCTCCAGCCACGCCCTGGCCCCCAAAGGGGCGTCTCCCACCCCAGGGAGCCCAGACTCAGGGCGGCACTCACTGCCCGCCACGGTCACCAGGGGCCGGGGCCTCGCGCAGGCCCAGCGTGGGCAGAAGGCCGAGGCCTCAAGTGGGCGCAGCGCCCCTGGGGGAGCGCAGGGTCCTCGGCCGGCCGGGGCCAGGCCCTCAGAGGCTGGGCGGGGGCGCTGGGGAGGTTTGGCCAGGGGGGACAAGACGGGCACTGGCCTCCCCGCTGAAGCCGACCTGTCCCAGGGCCTTCCCGGCCGACGCTGGAACCCGAGGGAGGGCCTGGCCGGTGCCCGCTCTGGGACTTACTGCCCTGTGAACCCGGGACTCTGCTCTGTGCTGTTTTTGTGGCACGTTTTCCTGAATTTTCAAAGTGACGCCGGCCTCACAGGACGAGAGCGGACGCGTCCCTTGTCCTCCTTCTTCCGAGGGCCGAGACGGGTCGGTGCTGGCTCTGTTTCTCATATCAGCTCGGTCTCTTATTTTTTTTTCTTTTTTTTGTTTCTTTAGATTTATTTATTTATTTATACAAGATTGATTGATTGAGGGCCTCCCCAGTGGCGCAGCGGTTGAGCACTGGGCTGCAAAGCTGTCCGCAGCCTTTGCAGCGCCGGTTCGATCCCTGGCCACCGGAGGAGGGTCCCACCAGGTGCGCAGACCTCTCCTGCCGCCCGCTGCTCCCCTCAGCAGTGTCCTTCGGTCCTTCTGCCTGCTCTGCTCCCCGCTCTGGCTCTGGTGGATTCTCTCACCCTCCCGCGCTTCTGACTGTGCCCAGTGCATGTATAAATAAATAAATAAATCTTAAAAAAAAAAAAAGATTGATTGATTGATTGCTTGATTGATCCAAGCACTGGGCACAGTCAGAAGCGCAGGAGGGTGAGAGAATTCCCCAGAGCCAGAGCGGGGAGCAGAGCAGGCAGAAGGACCGAAGGACACTGCTGAGGGGGTTAGCGGGGAGACAGGAGGGGTCTGCTGCGCCCTGTGGGTAGCTCCCTGGCTGGCCGGGATCGAACCCGCGCTGCAGAGGCTGCGGGCAGCTTCCCAGCGCTGCGCTCAACCCGCCGCGCCACAGGGGAGGCCCCCAGTCTCTTATTTTAAAGGGAGATTGTTGGGGTTTTCTGTCTCCCTGGAACCTGCTGTACGTCTCAAGGGACCTCCCGTGTGTTCCAGGCTCTGTCCGCCCACGAGGCACGAGCCTTTTTCCTCTAAAGCGAGGACACCTGCGTGCACCCCAAGGACGCCCCCTCTTTTATTTTCATGGCTCCTGCCTTCGCTCCTTCCCTGTCCAGCCCTGTGAAAGGGCGCCCAGATTTGTGGCGCTTTTCAAACAACTACTTTTGGTTCGATTTTTTCTTTGTTTTCTGGTCTCTGCTCTGTCTTTCTCCACCGGGCCTTTGTCATCCCTCCTGCTGCTGCTTGGGGGGGACGGGCCTGTCGCTTCCTCAAGGTGCGGAGTCGGGTCTCGCGGTGCCAGAGCTTGCAGTGGCTCTGGGCTCGGCCCCACCAGCCCCGCGCGCCTCTGAAGTGCTCCCGGCCGTGGTGTAAGCCCCTCAGACCAGCCGGGCGGGCGGGCGGGCGTGGCCGAGGCCAGCAGGGCCCGACCCAGTGGCAGGGCTGCTCGGGTGCTCGCCCTTGTGCTTCCTGCGAGCAGAGCCTGAGCAGACGCGCCCGCTGTTTACTTGTGTTTTTTTCAGGTAAAAGGGAAAACGCTGCAGCTGCACCAGTGGCCCGCGGCCGACTTCCAAAGCGCAGGCAGCACCGAAGGCTACTTTCTCCCGGGTGCGTGGGCACATGTCAGCCGCAGCCCAGGGCCCCGGCGGCCGGGCCTCCTCCCTGGGGAGGACGTGCCCCTCGGCCCTGGGGTGACGGGTGGCTCCGTGTGATGTGGGCGGCAGCACACCGCGGCAGCACGCTGGCTGGGGCACACGCCGGCTCGCGCTCAGCGCAGGGCCCGCAGCTCGCGGGACAGGCACCTGCACCCGTCCTGGCCAGCCGCCCCGCGAGCTGGCTGTGGCACGAGGCACCCCCGCGGCCCCCGCAGCTGGCCCGCGCCCCGTCGAGTGGTGGTGGGGGGTCCGGTGGCCCCGGCTCCCGGTGCGCGCGTTGACAGGACCGATGGCAGCAGCTGGAGAGGGGCCGGGGGTCTGCACACCAGGAACAAGGAGGAGCCGGCCCCGGGCGCCCTGCCCGCTGCCCGACAGGCTGCCCCGCCCTCCGCCCGCAGGCACCGAGGATGACCTGTCCCTGCGCGTGGCCCTGTACGGGCTGCTCTTCCACAGCCTGGCCGACCGTGAGGACTGGGAGGGCGGCCTCAAGCTGCTGGAGGAGGCCGCCCAGGTGCTGCCGCGCTCGGCCCACCGCCTGTGAGTGCCACCTTGGGGTGCGCCGCACCTGCGAGCGGCCACATCCGCCCCGTTCCACCCCCACCCCTCACCCCGGTCCCACACCCCTGTCCTGTACCCCCATCCCGCTTCTGAGGACCTAGCCCAGGGAGGGTAGGTGCAAAGCGCGTCCCCCACCCCTGGAGTCTGCCCGGGGCCGCGCAGACTCCCGGGCACCCCACTGTCGCCCCACGGCCCCTCTCTGCTGCAGCTTGATCTTCAAACACATGGTCATCGTGAAAGCCAAGCTGGGCCAGAGCTTCCTAATGGAGATGCAGAAGTTCAAGGACCAGAGCGAGGACTACTTGGCGCGTATGTGGCACCGCCTGGCGCTGAGCTCCAGGACCATCGCAGGGACGCTGTCCTGCTACCACAAGGCCATCCACGCCCTGCAGGTCCAGGGGCTGCTGGGCCGGGGCAGGGGCCGCTTGGGGCCAGGGCCTGGGAGGCAGATCCCCCCACCCCCAGGAGCAAGAGGACCGTCCTGGGTGCCCTCGCCTGGGCCGGAGCTCGTGGAACTTAGCCTGGGCCTGAGGACACTTCTCCTGGCTCAAAAGACACGCAGGCTGGGCACGGGCCTCACGCGTCTGCTGAGTGGAGGGCCCGGTCCTGCTGCCCTTCTGGGCGTGCTGCCAGTGTCCAGGGGGACGCGGGGGGCTCAGGCCTCGCTCCTGTGGCCCTGGGCATGCCAGCCAGGGCGTGGTGAGGAGCGGGGCCGGGCCTGTGGGTACTGGCCCAGACTGCCCCGCCACCCCCCTTGCCGCCAGGCCCCAGGAGTCTGGACAGTGCGCTGACCCGCCCGCTCTGCCCCAGAAACCCGAGAGCGCGTGGCAGAAGGTGGACTACATCGTGGAGTTCAGCCAGTGGCTGTACACACAGCAGTTCCCCATGGAGGACCTGCTCTTCCACCTGAAGTGGGCTGTGGACATCCTGCTGGGCATGCCAGCCCCACCAGGCCCACCAGGTGAGCCTCGGCCCCGCCCTGCCCCTGACCCCACCCCCAGGCCAGCCCCCGCCCCCCGGCCCACCAGGTGCGCTCCGGCCCCGCCCCAGGCCCCACCCCCAGGTGAGCCCCACTCAGGCCCCTGCCCAGCCCGCCAGGAGAGCCCATGGGCACCTGCTCCTCTGGGAAGGGCTCGGCCCAGGGCTTGGTAGAGGATACTCAGCGGGTCACCGGGTGGGCGGCCGTCTGGCCTGCGTCTGGCCTGCGTGCTCACGCTGCGTCTGCCCTGCAGAGGAGGCGGCCCCGGAGAGGCCGGCGTCCCAGGGCGGGGCCCCACCGTTCCTGGGGAGGCTGCGGAGCGTGCGGCAGCTGGAGGCCCTGGCCCGCACCCACACCCTGCTGGCCCTGACCGTGTCGCCCAGCTCGGCGCTCCACCGGGACTGCTGCCTCCTGGCCTGCGCCTTCCTCCAGCGCGTCTGGCAGGTGGGTGCTCCCAGCGGCCCCCCCGGCGCCTGCTCCGGCTCCTGCCCACTCGGGGGCTCCATCAGGGGGGTCCTCTGGGCCCCCGCAGCCGAAGGGCCGAGTGCCCCTGGTGAGCACCCCCCATCGAGGCCCCCGAGGGCATCTGTCGTGTGCTGGGGGCTCAGGAAGCGGGGGGCCCACTCCACTCGGCGGCCGCCCACCCGCCCGGGCAGCAGCTGCAGCTCCCTGTGCAGGTGTCTCTGTCGGCCGCGAGGAAGTCCCTTTCGGAGAGCAGGACTTTGGCGGCGGGCGGTTCAAACGCGGCCTTGCCCAAGAAAGAGAAGGAGAGGAAGGAGGCCAAGGAGAAGGGCAAGGACCCCGCGCAGGTCGCGCACCGGGCGTCCCGGCCGAGCCCCTGCCCATCCCTGCGGGTCGCGCCCTGGCCGGGGTGGCCCCACCCGGGGTGGCGGGGGTGGGGGCTGTCCGACCCTCGTGCCGGTGTCCGGGGCCCCCGCGGCTGCCCGGGGTACGGGCGCTGCCCTCAGCCCCCAGTGCCGGCCGGCCCCTCGTGCAGCCTCCGGGCGGGCGCCCGGGCCGCGGGCCCTCGGGGAGTGGGGGGCTGCGGGCGGGGCCGGAGGGCGTGGGTGCGGGCGCCTGGGCTGGAGGCGGCTTCTCCGCCCGCCGGGGCCTGCGGGGCCAAGCGCGGCCTGCCTGCCCGCTCCACAGCCTCAGAGCCCGGCTCCCGGCAAGCAACTGGAGGACCTGCCGGCCAGCACGCAAGAGTGGGCCCTCTACTCCTGCCCGGAGGACGTGCTGTCCGTGTTCAGGCAGGACAAGAGCAGCTGCACCGTCAACCCCCTCACCATCCAGAAGCCGGTGAGTCCAGCCCCCGGAGGAGCAGGGCACCCGGCCCCCGCGGCTCGAGGCCCCGGCCCAGGAAGGATTTCTCAGAAGCACGCCAGGGCCTTAGTTTGGGGGTCTCATCAAGGCATTGCTCCCCAGCCCCCACGGGCACCCCAGCCCCCAGGACAGCACAGCTTTCGGGGGACCCTCAACTTAGTTTTTCGTCTCTACCCCGCAAAATGCCCACAAGAGCCTGCCCAGCTGCCTCTCCCGTCAGCAGACACTAGGCCTGCGCCCGGGCCGCCCGCCGTGGGCTGTGTGTGCCGGGCCAGCGCGGGCCCTGCGACAGCCGGGCGGCACTGACCCGGGCCGCCTCCCGCAGGCCTGCACCCTGTACTATCTGGACCGCCTGGCCAGCGCCCTGCAGCGGATGAGCCTCCACGAGCTCGCGGTCCCGGTCCTGCAGCTGGCCGTGCTGGTCGCGGGCTGCGTGGTGGACAGCAGGAGCCTGGGGGACCTGTACCACCTGCGGTCAGTGTGCCGTCGGCCGCCCCCAAGCGGTGCAGAACAGGCAGCCTCGCGGGCCCGAGGCCCGGGGTGGCCTGGGCGGCCGGTGAGGTCCTGCGCTCTGCAGGCCGAGCCGCTCAAAACCCGCGGACGTGAAAGCCGTGGTTTCGCTTTAGCTTGAAGTTTCTACCCTGCCCCGAAGAGCGCGGTTGTTCCGAGGAAGCAGCTGAAGCCCAGCGTCGGGCCGTGCTGCCCAGCTTCCTCTGCGGCGGCGCGGGGAAACCCGAACAGCACATCCACATGCCTGTTCGGAGGAGGGGTGCAGGGCGGAGAGGGGGGCGGGCGGGAGAGGGGCGCGCAGGGCGGCATGTGCAGCGTCAGAAGGAAACGTGCGCCCAGGAGCGTGGGCAGCGCACGGGTCTCGCGGCCTGGACTGCCCGCCAGCCGGCTCGGGGGGACGCTGCCCGGCGGCTGTGTGAGGGTGCGGGCGGCGGGGCTGCCTGAGCCCGTGCCCACTGCCCGTCCTCTCCCGCTCCCAGACTTGCCCTGCTTTGCTCGAAATTGAAGTTGAGGGACGCGGCCGCCTACCACGAAGAGGTGGTGGGGCAGACGTACATGGGGGAGGCGGAGCAGGCCAGGTGTGTGCGGGGCAGGGCGGGATCGTCCATCTCTCAGCCGCGCCCCCCGCCCCACAGCCCGCCTGTCACCAGGGCGGGCCAGTGGGTTTGAGGGGAGCCTGGGCCGGGTCAAGTAGCCGGGCAGTGTAGCCTGGGCACCTCCGATGTGGGGGGCTGAGGGGGTTCCATGGGAGCAGGCCCTCTGGAGATGGGGGAGCCTGCAGGCCGATCTGGGGGTGAGCCCTCCCCCCACCCCCGGGAAAATCGCAGGTCTGGAGCTGGGAAGGGGCTTCTCTGCTGTCCGGTCGCGGGAATGTTTGGAAAATCTTTGTCAACACAAACCCCACCCGGCGCTGCTGGGCTTCCGACGGCCCCTCCCGCCTGCTCTGCTGACCACAGCTGCAGGAGAGACATCGCCGTGAGGAAGGAGAAGCACAAGGAGCTGCTGCTGGACGACAGCCTGACCGCGCTGCCCACGCCCGCCGCCCCAGTGCAGGACAAGGTGCGGCCGCCCGGCCTGCAGCGGCAGAGCTAGGCCTGCCCGTCCCGGACAGACAGCGGGAAGGCACAGGGGTCCTGCAGCCGGCACCCGCATGCAGGCTCCGCCAGGGAGGCCCTGCCACTGCCCTGCAACCACAGGACTCTTGGCTCCCTGGGACGGGCACCAGAGGGGTGGGTGAGGCGGACCTCTGACCTGGGGGAGCCCTGGACTCGGGGGCAGAAGCATGGATGGGCCCCAGCCCAAGGCCCAAAGGGAGTTTGGGCTGCCCCGTCCCCACCTGCCTGGCCCCGCCCCCACCCATCCAGCCCCGCCCACACCCGGCTGGCGGGGCCCGCCCTGCCACGCCCTCCCTGCCAGCCCGGCCATGCAGCTCGGGGTGTCCCGCAGATGCTGCAGCTGAACGGGGATGCTGGAAGAGGCCTGGCGGGGACGTCCCTCCCGCAGCTCTGGGTCCTCAAAGCAGAGGTTCTACTGGAGCTGGAGCTGCACCAGCCTGCGCGGCTGCTGCTGTCTGAGGCCTACCTGGCTTTCCAGGTGAGGGCCGCTGCCCCACGGAGAGGCATGGGCGGGCCCGGCTACCCGGGGACAGGGTCCTGCAGGCTGTGCCCGTCCCCCTACCCCTCACCCATGGCTGCCCTGTCCGGCCGCCTCTTGGCTGTGGCCCCCCCTTTCCCGCAGCCTCCGTGCCGCAGTCCTGCTGTTCTCCGGGGAGATCCCCGGGGAGATCCCAGGGCCTCTCGCTGCAGGCCCTGGGGCTCGTCCAGGGCGGAGGGCACGCAGGGGGCGCCGGCCCTACTTGGTCCTCACGCGGGGTTTTGCGCGGGATCGCTGAGCTCCTGGATGCCCTTGCTCAGCTGCCCGGGCAGGCCCCGCCGGCGTCCGGAGCTGCCCGGCCCCTGGTGTGCCGTGGCTCTGATCCAGGCTGGTCCCTTCAGCTCCGACCTGCGAAACTCCACCCTCTAGCCTTCTCTGCACGCCCCGCACCCCCGTTTCCTCCTGGGTCCTGTTCCCCGCAAGGATTGAAGCCCTGGGGGGAAATCCTGGCAGTACGGGGCTGCCCGCGGCGCTGTCCTCCACCTGGACCTCAGGGCCTGGGGCCCAGGAGGGTTGCTGCGTGCGTGCGTGTGTGCGAGGCGTGTGCACAGCGTGCGTGCGCGGCACTGCGTGTCACCGGCAGAGGAGCGCTGGGGGCAGCCCCGTGGGTTGTGCAGGCGAGGGCTGCGGGGTGGCCTCTCGGCCTCCACCCCCTCCCTTCCCCTCCCGCCCAAGGTGGCTGCTCGGTGCCGGCCTGTGCCCGGGCCGTGGGGCAGGTGTGGGGGGGTGTCCGTCGGTGTCTTGCCCGCCCCTGGCCCGCTGGCCCGGCCCTGCGTCTCGGGTGCGCCCGCGTCCTGGCTGTCCGCAGGGGCAGCTACGCCCGGGCTCTGTCCTAGGAGCTCGGCGACCGGTGCGCGGAGGCCGAGTGCCTGCACCTGCTGGCGCGGCTGGCCAACAAGGAGCGGCGCCACGGCCAGGCGCGGGCGCTGGTGGAGGCGGCGCAGCTGCGGGGCGGCGGCGAGGAGTTCTGGTACCGCTCCACCCTGACTCTGGCGGAGGCGCTGCTGGGCGAGCAGGGCTCGGGGTGTGCGGAGGTGCGCGGCGGGCAGGGCGGGGGCAGGGCCGGGCAGGCGTGGGGCAAGGGCGGGGCTGGACGCGGGGCCCGAGGTCTTGACGAGCCCCACTGCCCCAGGTCTGCCAGCTGTTCCAGAAGCTCATAGACGTCTTCAAGGCTCTGGAGACAGAGAGACCCAACCGGACGCCCATGCTGGAGTTCATGGCCGCGGACCTGGAGGCCAGGTGACCCAGCCCGAGGCGCTGGGCCCGGGGCGGGCGGCGCGGCCCCTCCACTCAGCTTTAAGCGAGTCTCGGCCTATGAGGGTCTGGCCACACGAGGGCAGCCCCACCCCACCAGCCCTGGACACGCCGCCCCACCCGGCTCCCTGGGCCCGGCCTCCTCCCCCTCTTCCAAAGCGAAGCTCCGAGCTACTGCCAGCCTGGCAAGGCTCCCAGGACACGCTCAGGGCCAGACCCCGGTCCCCCACCACCCGCCAGTCCCTCTGTCCCCCCCCAGCAGCCGGCCTTGAGCACGACGCACTCCCAGCTGCTGCGGCCCCCGCGGCCCCGGCCCCAGAGCGAGCAGGTGGTCATGGGCGTGCCCACAGGGGTGTGAGCCTGCGTGTCAAGGCCGCACAGGAGCAGGCGGGCAGGGCCCCCCGTGAGCACCTGCTCCTGCTGGGCGAACTGGACAGCTGCTTGGCGGCGGTGGAGCAGAAGTTCATCAGCTGCGGCCGCAGAGACAAGTGTGTGCGTGTGCGGCTGGAGCGGGCCGAGGTCAAGAGGTGCGCCCGGCGGGAGCCTGCTGGCGGCCCTCGGGGCGCCCTCCCCGGCGGGGCCTGTGCCTGGCTCCTCCCGCATCAGCTCCCCGTCCTGGCCAGGACCCCAACCGGCCCTGCCAGGCCTCCTGTGCCCACTTGCACCTCCTTAGACACCAACAGGGGGTCCGACCTACTGGAGGTCCCCAACAGTCTGCAGACACACCGCACCCCCAGCTGCCGCCCACGCCCTGAAGCGCACATACACGCACGGGGCCCCCACGACTGGCCTGTGGGCAGCGGACGCCCACACCTGGTGCCAACAGAACCTCACTGCCTACCCCTCACTGCCCACCTGCTCAGGCCCGCAGCTGCCCCTAGGCCAGGGACAGGGAAGGCTGGGGTACCAGGCTCTAGAGACCCCTGCAGGATTCCTGCACCCTGACCATCAGCACCCAGGCAGGGGGTCCCCACGGAGAGGGGCGCCCAGGAGAAGCGGAGTCCAGCACAGCAGGCCGGACGGGCATCTGCTGTCCGAGAGGCGCTGGCGCTGTGCTGGCTGCACGTTCTTGTTTCTGCTGACAGGGCGTTGGAGGCGCCTGTGCCTGGGGAGGGGCCGTGTATGGCTCCAGTGAAATGTGCAGGGGGTGGTGGGGTGGGGTGGGGTGGGGTGGGGGCTGCGGTGGGGGGCCGGCCTGGCGGAGGCACGAGCCGAGCCCGCCCTGCCGTTGGCAGGCTGTGCGCCCGGGGCGAGAAGGACAAGGAGCAGCAGGCGGTCCTCTACCTGGACGCTCACGCCCTGGCCCAGGGGGCCGTGGCCGAGGAGGAGGAGCGGCTGCACGGCCTGCGGGGCCTGCTGCCCTCGTCCCAGGAGGTGAGCTGCCTGCCCACCCGCCCACCGCGCCGAGGGTCCGCCAGACACCGAGGCACCCGGCAAGGTGGCCGCGTGGCAGAGCCCTGGGCGGAGGGTGGGGGTTCCGGGAGCAGCAGGATCCCCTTAGGACCCAGGTGCTCGGGGAGGCCTGCAGGCCCAGCCCCGCAGAGGGGAGCCCCGAGGTCCTGAGGGCTTGGACGCAGCCACGGTGGCTGGAGAGAAAGAAAAACACGTGAAAGAATGAGGACCTGAGCTGTTGAGTGTCCCTGCGGCGGTGCACACTGCCCGGGCCTGGGAGCTGGGGCTAGATCGTCTCCCGGAAGCCGGGAAGGGGCTCCTCTGGGCCGGTACGGCCCCCCGAGGCAGGAGACTGGGCCTGCGGGTCGCCAGGGCAGTGAGCCCACGTGCCGCCTGGTGGGTGGGGTCACCCGCTGAAGACAGGGTCAGCCGAGCATACGCGGTTGCTCGGGCCGCACGTCCAGCGGTCAGCCCAGGGGCAGCTGCATCCGGGCAGACACGCCTGCTACTCAGAGGGAGATGAGGGATGGGGGGCACGGAGCACGAGGCGGGGGGCAGCTGGGGGCGGCAGCAGGCCGATACCACGCCTCTGGAGAGTGGGCGCAGGTGGCTCTGGCAGCCAGCCCTGGTGCAGGGAGGCGGGCGCAGCGACACCACCCTGGAGTCCGCGGCCATCAAGTCTGTCTCTGCGGCCACCAGTTTTTCTTAAAAAATAAAGGCCAGGCGGCCGCCTCAGTCAGGGCAGGACAAGCGCGTGGCGGCTCCCGCTGCTGCTCCTGCTAGAAATGGGCATCTGGGCGCCGTCCCTGGGAGGATGCGCCCCCGTGGGATACCTTGTCTTGGAGGCCGCCGGACGCCGGCTCAGAGGCCCCAGGCCCCGAGGAGGCCAGGGCGTGCGCTCCCCGCCCGCTTCTCAGCCGCGCTCCAGTCCGCCACCCGCAGAGGCAGGAGGAGGCCAGGCCTGTCCGGGTTGGGATGCGAGGGGCCAAGCTGCGTCACAGATGACGTGGCCACCTGGGAAAGGCCAAAGGATGCCCGTACTGGGGCCCCGGACGTGAGCCGCGTGTTCCTACACACAAGGAACAATCGTCCAGGCGTTAAAAATTGAGAGCGCGCCCTCACAGCAGCAGAAACTAACGAAATGATCCGAGAAAAGGTGGAAACGGCCACGAGGGCCACAGAACGTGCCTGAGAAACACGGGGGATGCTGCTGACCGCGAGGGCTGGACGCCAGGGCCAGGCCCTGCGGATGCACATGCATCCTCACCCCCGCCACCCCCGCCCGCGCCGTTGCAGAGCGTGAGCACGCCCCTGATGAGGAAGCTGGCCGGCCTCAAGCTGCGCCTGGCCGAGAGCAGCCTGGACACGCTGCAGATGGCCTGGCAGGAGGACCAGCAGCAGCAGCTGCAGCAGAGCTCTCTGGACAATCTGCTGATCGGCTACCTGCAGAGCATGAGGGAGGACACCCCGGTCGGCCTGGTAAGCGGACTCGGCTGCCGTGGGCAGGGCAGGGCAGGGCAGGGCAGGGCAGGCTATCCAGCGGGGTTAACCCATCTGTGCCCTCAGAGGTGGCTCACGCTGAAGCGGACCCTGGCCCACACAGCGCTGGCACAGCTGGAGAGCCTGCAGCCCCTGTGTGCCGGCTGCCCCGAGATGCAGGCCCAGCGGCTGGGCCTGGCCGGGAGGGCCCTGCACCTGCTGGCCCAGGAGGCCGACCCCCTGCCCTCCGCCTTCTGCTGGGAGGAGCGCCTCCTGGTGTGTGTCCGCGCCACGGCTGGGAGCCAGGCCTGGCCTGTCAGCTACCAGGCGGCAGCCTGAGAGCGGGGCCTGGAGGCCGGGCTGGCTGGTGCCGTGACTGGCAAGGGGGCCGGAGGCTGGGTGCGCCCAGGCCAGCGCTGCTAGCACCGCTGGGGGCCAAAGGCTGGAAGGGAGGCCTGGCCCCAAGTGTGGGGTCTGGCAGGGCTTGGCATGGGGCTGTCCCACCCAGCCTCCCTGCCACTGCTCCTGGGGAGTCCCTGGGAGTCTGGGGGTGCAGCTTGGCCCACCCTCCCATCCTCCACTCACCACACAGCCCCAGGGAGTGCTATGGACCCCCCGGGGTACACCAGTCATGGAGGCTAAACACCCCTAAACATTGTGATGCCCCTCCCTCCACCTGAGAGGCACCTGCCCCTGCGTGAAGCCAGTCTCCCCCCAGACCCGCTCCCTCCTGGGGCTGAGCTCTGGGCACCTGTGGGCCAGCAGCCTCCACCCAGTCCCGCTGGGCCTGCTGCCCTGCAGGGCACCTGGCCTTGCCGGCCCCAGGGTGCACATCCTCTCGCTGCCACAGCCTGAAGCCCAGGGGTGGGTGTTGCCCGAGCAGCTGCGGGGTGCCCGCCCCGCAGGGCCTGCTGAGCAGCGGCAGGTGTCTGCAGGTATCCCGGGAGGAGCACAGCAGCGGCTCGGCACCCGCCCCACACACCCGAGGAGCAGGGCAGGAGGGGCTGGGACCTGAAGGTACTGCCCGCCCTCCCCTGCCCTGCCCCCGCCCCTGGGCACAGGGCTGCCTGCCCACCTGAGTCGCCCTCCCCTGCAGAGGAGGATGGCGCTGGCCCAGCGGTACCTGGCCCAGGCGTCCGAGGTGCTGCTGCAGGGCCTGCAGGCAGCCCTGGGTAGCGGTGCGCTGGCCGTGGCGGCGGCCGCCAGCCTGGAATTGGTGGAGTGTGTGGGCTCCCTGGACCCGGTGGCCACCTGCCAGTTCCTGGCACTGTCCCAGGTATGGCTGCCCGCCAGCTGGGGTCAGCGCAGCCCAAGGGCCCCCTGAACCCTGCCCCTCGGACCCCACTCTCGAGTTCTCACGGCTGTGAGCCGGTGAGGACACCTGTGGGCGCTGGGCCATCTGTTGCAGAGCTGCGAGGCGGCGGGCGCTATGCGGGACGTCCTGCTCAGAGCCACAGCGGACACCAGCAGCTCTCAGCTGGCTGCACTGCTGCAGCTGGAGCACAGGCTGCTGTGCCAGGGGCGCACGGGCACCCGGCTGCTGGCCAGCGTGCAGCAGAGGCTGGCTGCCACGGCCAAGGTGAGCACCTGTGCCTGAGCACCATGCCCGGCTGCGTCCAGGCCCTGTGGGCAGAGTACCCTGGGGACTGCGGGAAGGCGGGGTGGGGCCTGGGGCAAGGGCCGGGCCAGGCCAGGGGTGGGAACGGGGCCTCAGCAGCGCCCTGCAGCGGCAGCAGCTCCCAGTGTGGGACCGGCAGGTGTGAAGGCAGCGTTTGGAGCAAGCTCTGGGGAATGGTCAGGAATGGTGAGGGCAGGCCCAGGCCCTGAAGGCCCCGGCACCCACGCTTCTCTGCTGGAACCTCCTCTTTCCCCCTGCTGGGGCCTGGTGCTCTCCTTGAGGGCCCGTCCTGGGCGCCGTGGGAGGGGGAGCCCTTCTGCGCTGCCCTCCCCCCACCTAGTGGCCGGGCTACCCACCGGGGGCAGCCTGACCAGCCCTGAGCCCTGCACCCTCCCGCAGGCCTGGCAGAGCCTGGCCGTCACCGAGCAGCACCTTAACCTCCTGAGCGACATTCCTCTCTCCTTCCGGGTCCTCTTCCTGCACCACGCGCCCGACTGGTGAGGGCTGGGCCATGGGGCATCGCCCCTGCCGACCCCCGGGGAGGATGCCGGGCCGGCTGGGCTCCTGGGAGTTGAGGGATCCTGAGGTGGGGGGTGTGGCGTGTCCTCTGGGGAAGGCTGGGGACGAGGCGGGCGGCTCGTAGTGGGCAGCTGTGGGGGTATGCGGGTGGGCCCGACCCCTGCGGCGGTCTCTGACACCCCTCACCCGCCACCAGGACCCACCTGTACGGAGCTGTCTACGAGCGCCCCAAGCTGGTCCCGGCAGCCAAGGGGAAGCTGGTGCCCGTGGGAGGTGAGCTCTCCCCACGGCCCGGAGGCGACAGGCCGTCCCAGGCCTGCTGGACGCCAGGGTCCGCAGCTGGCAGCCCGGCCCCCCTCCAGCCTGGCCCTCCGGCCTGCAGCCCAGGCACTAGTCTCCCTTGCCGGCTCACATTCGAATGTTCCAGAACCGGGAGGCAACCTGGTGCCGTGTCCTGGGGCCCCGCAGGCTATTTCCATGCTTTCTCTCCTGCTTGTTCCTCTTCCGGGACCCGCCTCCGAGGGCCGTCCCTGCCTGAGGGGCTGTCCTCCTGGCGTGGGCCGGCCCAGCCCCGCCGCCCGCTCCGCTGCCCCTCAGCCACGCAGCGTGGGCCGGGGCCAGCTCTGCGCCCATGTCGCAGGCCTCTGCAAGGTGGCCCGGGTGGCCGTGAGCCCGGAGGCCTTCTCCTCCCTGTTGGCCGGCGCCCAGCAGTTCCGGGAGCGGACAGAGGCCGAAGTGTACGGGGAGGGCATGGCCCCGGGCCCAAGCTCGGTGAGCGCGGCCCCGCCCCGCCCTGCCCCGCCCGCCCCTTGCCCCCAGGAGGCTCCCCCAGCAAGCCCCCCTGCCCTGCCCAGCCCAGCTGCGCCCTCCCTCCCTCCTCCCGGCCCCCCCACCCCCGCAGCCCCCCCGCCCCGCCACCGCCTCCCCGCGAGGCCCAGTCGGCCCCTCTGAGTCCTTGGCAAGCTCACAAGCTGGCTGCCGCTCGCTGGCGCTGGGAGCCAGAGGCTTCTCAGGGCAGGCAGGGTCCTGGGGGCCTGTCCGTGGGGGTCTGGGGTCCCCAGCACCAGGCAACGGGGCGGGGCCAGGCTGGGGGTGGGCTTCAGCCCCAGCAACCCCCTCCCGCCTCCCCCTCCTCCGGGCTGCCTGTGCAGGGGCGCGCTAGGTCCTCTGCGGGAGGGCCTGGCTGCGCGGGCGTCCCCCCGCTCTGAGCTGGGAGGGACCCCGGCCCTGGACACTCTGACCCAGGCTGCTGACGAGGAGGAGACGCCGGAGCCCGGAGAGGGGCCCAGCGCGCGGGCGCTCCGGGGGCTGCTGCAGGCTCTGGAGGACTACCTGTCGCCGCTGCTCCCGCTGCTCAGCTGTGCCGAGGCCAGGTGCCCCGGAGCCCTCCGTGCAGGGGGCGCGGGCTGGACGGGGGTGCGGGCTGGATGGGGGCGCAGGCCAGGCGTGTCCAGGTGCCACGGACCCCACCATGCAGGGGGTGCAGGCTGGACGGGGTGCAGGCTGGACGGGGTGTGGGCTGGACGGGGTGTGGGCTGGATGGGGTGCGGGCTGGATGGGGGCGCAGGCCAGGCGTGTCCAGGTGCCACGGACCCCACCATGCAGGGGGTGCAGGCTGGACGGGGTGCAGGCTGGACGGGGTGTGGGCTGGATGGGGTGCGGGCTGGATGGGGGCGCAGGCCAGGCATGTCCAGGTGCAGCCCAGGAGGGCCAGTCAGCGGCGGCCGCGTCTGCTCCCAGGGTGCAGGCTCCCGCGGCGGCGGTGGACGTCGGGAAGCCCAAGGGCAAGGACAAGGAGAGGAAGCCGTCCCTGTCCCAGGGTGAGTGGCGGAGCTGCCGCCTCCGCGGGGCTCCCCCATAGCAGGCCACGCGCCCCAAGTCATGCCGGGAAGAGAACCAGAGGCCACTGTCCGGTCACCTGGGCTGGGCAGGGCCCAAGCGGCGACTCGTCCGGAGCCCTGGCGTGTCCCAGCCCCTGCAGCTGAGGCCTGGGCCACGCAGCCACTGTCTGAGGCCCGCGTCCTGCCTGCAGCTCCGCCCGAAGCCGCGGACAGCGTCATCCTGGTGGCCGACCGGCGCCTTCTGGAGCTGCCGCTCGAGGGCCTGTCCTTGTTGAGGGAGGCCGGGGTCTCCTCCGTGGCGCGGGACTTCTCCCTCCAGATGCTGTGCAGCCGCCTCCGCCGGGAGGAGCCAGGTAGGGGCCTGGGACCGCTCTCGGGAGAAGGGCGTCCATGCCGGTCACCGTCGCCAGACCCCCCGCCCCCATGGACCCCTCACTCCGGGAATTGCAGCCGAGGCCGCGGGGCTGGCCCTGCAGCTGGTGGGAAGCAGCGGGAGGGGCAGGGTGCGCTGGGCCCCGGCCCCGCCGTCCTCGGGTGCCCTCCGGATGTCCCCGGACGCGCCCCGTGCCACTACACAGCAAGCGGACGCTGCGGAGCCTGGATGTGGCTTCCGTCCAGGATGAGGCAGCAAGGACTGCGGGCGCCCTTCAGGGACACAGGGAGCGGCGAGTTCCGGGGAGCCAGGTCCCCACAGCAGGAGGCGCCTGGGAGGCCGTCTTCTGCCTGGAGGGTCTGCAGCACAGCAGGGCGGGACTGGGCAGAGACCAGCGTCCACCGAGCTGAGGTGCTGGAGCTGAGGGTGGGGACCTAGCGTCCAGCGTTTGCAGGACAGATACCTGACAGAGAGCACCTGAGGCCCCAGGTCCAGTGAGCGCTGTCCAGGCAGACGTGTGAGGAGTCCGGCCACAGGGGGCCTGACCCCCACACGGCCCAGGGCATGGGCCTTGGCGCGGTCAGGGCGGGAGCGGCCCCACCCCTGCCAGAAGGGAAGAGGGTGACTCACAGCGAGCAGAGGGCTCGGCCGGGGCATGGCGCTGGGCGCGGTGCTGGCCGCACCACCGAAACTGACCAGCCTCGGAAGGAGCAGCTACTCCGGCCCGGAGCTGCTGCCCAGAGCAGAGAAGACGTTAGGGATGGAGACCACCGGGGCCAGCTGGGGAATCCAGAACGCCAGACCCGCGGTCACGGCCGCCAGGCGGCCACACGGCAGGGAGCTGGGCTGGGGGAAACGCAGCAGCGACGGAGACAGACGCCACGGCCATGGGTGCCACCCGCCGTGACCGCCACGTCCCTGGGGGCGCCCAGCAGGGGTGCAAGGTCCAGGGGGCCGAGAGTGAGCGCGGGCTGACGAGGAAGCCTGTCTGGGGCGGGGCTCCGGGGAAGCCCCGGGTCAGATCCGGCAGAAGCATCGGAACTTGGAGAAGTGGCTGCTGAGGACCGGGACGGCCCAGGAGCAGTGGGCGAGTCCAGGCGCTGGCCCCTGGCCACTCCGGTCTGGGGCGGGGGACAGCTGAAGCAGAACTCGCCTCCCCCCGCCCAAATGTGACCAAGGCTGTAACCCCACGAATCCAGGCGGCTCACGAGACACCCCCCCCGCCCATGAGAGCTAGGAAACCCGGCCGAGGCTGTGGCCTGCCCCCGACAACGTGGCAGAGACCTGGGAAGCAGCCGAGCGGAAAGGCACGAATCGGGGCGACCAGACCCCACGAGGACAGCGCAGCGTCCTTGCTCGTCCAAGGGGAGACGGTCACGTGGACGTTCTGCAGCCAGCTTCCAAGAGTGACAGAAACTCAGAAACAGAAGGGCAAAGTCCTCGCGGGGCGGCTGCGTGTGGGTGCCGGGCAGCCTGCGGGGGCCGGGGGGCCGCGGGGGTGGGCCGTTGTCCTCTAAAGCAAAATTGGTGACAGGCCGGCTGGGCCCTGGGGGCACGGAGCCGGGGCACGGAGCCGGGGCACGGAGCCGGGGCATGGAGCAGGGGCGCGGCCGCTGCAGGGCCGAGAGGCGGACGCCCCCTGGGAGGGCAGGCGGCCTGGGCTGGCGGCTGCAGTGGACGGCGGCAAGGCCGTGCCCGGAGGCACCGCTGGCTGGGGCCACGCGCCAGGAGACGGCTGCCGGCCCGCGGGGTCCTCAGCCGCGCGCACTGACGCAGAAGGGAGGCGGCAGCCGCACGTGAGCCGGAGCGGAGGGCATCTGGGAAACTGTGACGCCAGCAGGTAATAAGCGAGTTTGAGCAAGAGCAGCGGAAAACCCCAGACGGCAGGTGAATCATGAGGGAGCCCGGGCCGGAGCAGCAGCGGGGACGGCGCTGTCATTGGGGGGAGCCGAGACAGACACGTTCCCGGGAGAACCAGCCCAAAAACTGACGTGGCAGGAACATCGGGCCGAGGCACGCGCCTCGAAGCTGCACCGGCACCAGGAGAAGAGAAACGTCCTGGGCAAATGTCCCTCCATCCCGCGCTCAGCTGCTGAGGGGAAGGCGCCTCCGGGCCTGGGAGCGCCGTGGGGAGCGGGGCGGAGGGCCGGAGGGGCCCTGGGCGCGTGGCGGCTTCCCTGACCCCCCTTTCCTGTTGGATGTTACTGGGCTCTCAAGAAACAGCCCGCGTGGGTCCAGGGACAGGGGGGCGGGGCAACCGCACAAGGAAGGACACGGCCCTCTGTGGCCCAGAGTGCCCTTAAGAAATGACCCAGGGCGCAAACTACAGGGAACAGCCTCGCAGTCTCCGGCCGCTGGGCAGCCTCTGTCCACGCCCACGTGGCGCCTCGCCGGCCGGGATCAGCAGGGGCCGTGCTCGGGCCTCCGTGTGCCCTGCCTCAGGCCCAGCCCGGTGCGCAGGAGGAAGGTGGTGCAGGAGGCAGTGGAGGCCCCGGGCTGGGCTGTGGGGGACACGCGGGGCTGCCCAGTCTGGTATGTGAATGGTCAGCTGGTGGGTGGGGGCCTCCCGCCACTGCCTGGCCTTGGGAAGTGGCCTTTTCCCTTGGGAAGTGGCCGCCATTTCACAGCCACAAAAACGAACATCTCGTGCTCACGCGGCTGCTTGGTTCTTACTGGGCTGGAGGGGCTCAGCCTTGCGTGGGGACCGACGCATGGCGCCCGGGGTGCCCACGGCCCTGCCCAGCCCCGCGTGGTCACAGGCGACCTCCACTCTGTCTGCTGCAGAAGGGGGCGTGAAAAAGGAGAACCGGGCCAAGGACCTCAGGAAGAGAAACTCGAGCAGGAAGAGCAAGAAGGTAGGAGAGCTGGCCTGGGGCTGGGGCTGGCTCTGGCCTCAGGCCCTCACCCCTGTCTGTGTGGCAGGGCACGGCGCCCCGCGTCGTCTCGCAGGACTGCTCTGTGGTGGACGCAGACGGCTTCAAGTGTATCCTTTGGCTCGCCCGCCCAGCCCAGGGCTCGCTGGGGTGCGGTGTCTCCTTAACTCAGGCCCAGATGTGGTGGACCCCTACGAGGAAGCCCAGGGCCAGGGTGAGTGGGGGGCACCCGCTGGGGCCTCCTGGACACCCTGGCGGGCCCCGCAGGAGGCTGGCCCCACCCCCCGCCCGGGCTCCTTCCTGGGCTGGCTTTTCCCTAACGGCTTCTCCACCGTGTCCACTCCCAGCCCTGGCCCCGCAGACCCCAGGCTGGGCGCCTGCCACCCCAAGGCTGCAGGGGACTCATGAGGCCACACCGAGGGGCGGGGATCCCCCGTGTCCATGGCTTTGTCACCATCTGACTCTCCCTGCAGAAATGCTGGCCCCTGTCTCCATAACCCGGAACATTCTGGAAAAATTCCGAGACACCTTCACTGCGAGGTGGACTGGACATCTGGGAAAAAAGCACTTCCCAAGGTCCATCTGGGGTCCCCAAGTGACAGCTCTGCAGAGGGTGGGGGTGGGGGCGCGGCGGGGCTGACATGGTGGAGCAGACACCCGGGGCGGGGCCCACGCCCAGGGGCCGAGGGGCTGCGGTCCTCACTCTGGCCTGGGGCCCGCTCCTGCCCCTCCTGCTCTTTCGCCTCCCCTCTGTCCCTATGCCTGTGCCCCCCCTTTCCTGGGCCGCCTCCTGCCCTGGCCCACTGCGTCTCAGCCCCTGCCCACTGCGGCTGCTGGGCCCTCCCCGCACTCGGGATGCCGCCTGGCCCCCACTTCACGATGAGCCCCTTCCTGGTGGCCTGGGCGCGGGGTCGTGGCCCCCGGGCCCTCCCCCAACCTGCCTCCTCTCCCTGCTCAGCGCTGGCCCGGCTCCGCCCACCCACTCCCTGCAGTCCGGCTCCTCTCCCTGCGCCCCGTCCTCCGCTGTCCATCCCGAGGGCATGGGGGGAGGTGACCGGAGACTGCACGGGCCGGGGTGGTGCTCTGGGGAGGGGCAGGGTGGGGGCGGGGGCAGAGGACAGTCACCTGTGGGGCCCGGGAGCTGAGTGCTGTCGGGGAAGCGCCCTCCTAGCCCTTTCCAGAGCTGTTGTCCCTGGAGAGGCTTCATTTCAGGGGCCTCCATACTCGGGGCTGGGGCCCGCAGGAAGCCCCCTGAGCTCTAGGCCCCCCTGCAGCCAGGCCGAGTGGGAGCAGCTCCTGGGCAGCTGCGAAGGCTTCCTCTTCTACGGGATGGAGAGCTTCCTGTCCCACCTGCGGGTGGAGAGGCTGGCGGCCATGAACCTGCAAGGTGAGGGCCACGACCCTGGGCTGCAGCTTTGCCGTTGGGGGCCTGGGGCCGCGTTAGGCGTGGGCAGCCCTGGCCACGGGTGGACTCCTCTGACGGTAGGTCCCTGCGGGGCCCTGGGGTGCCGGCAGCCACTGGGGGCCTCAGCAGTCCCCTCCTCCACGTCCCAGAGACCACATTCCCAGGCCCGAGGGCAGCTGAGTGGCTGGCTGCCCCCGCCCTTTCCCGGGACCTCCTGCAGACACCCCCCCAGAGGTGTGTGCCCCACTGGTGGACAGGGCACCTGAGCCCGCGGCTCACCTGGCGCCCCCAGCCCCCACGGAGCCCCGCAGAGCTGTGGGCGCACCTGGTGGGGCCTGACACTGCGCTCAGGGAGCTGGAAGCTGGGCCCGAGGGGCTTCCCGGAGCTTCCCCAAAGACATGCACTGCATGGCCACCCCTGGGCCCGCTGCTCCCACCCCGGCCTGTCACCCCTGTGCCCTGGGGACGGCCTTGGGCAGGTCACCTCGGGAAGGGTCGCTGCACACCCCAGGACACTTCAGACACTGGCCTGTCGCCGGGCACACCAGGCTGGGTGGCCGACTGGCCATCGGGTGCCTGCACCTGCCCTGGGCAAGCCGGGCCCTCTGCTGAGCAGGGCGCTGGGGCAGGCCCCGGGGGCGCCTGTCCGGTGGCGGTAGCGGAGGAAAGGGGCCCTGCCGCAGGTCGGGGGGTGCTGTGCGCCTGCAGGCCAAGCCTGGGCGCCGCTCGCAGCCTGCCCTCCCTGCCCGCGGCAGGGCCAGCCCCTGCACAGGCCTCTGAGCCGCCCTCTGTGTCCCAGAGTGCCAGCTGATGGTCCTGCTGGACCTCGCCCGGTCCCCGCAGAGCATGTGGAGGCACACGGCGTCCTCAGAGAGCAAGAGGTAGCCAGAGCCTGGCTGGGGGCGGAGCCTGGCTGGGGGGGTGGGGGCCTGGGGGGCATAGGTGCACGCAGGGGTGTCCCTGCACCCTGGGGGCGGACCCCACAGGGGAGCTGGCGCCCAGGACCTGTGCCCTTGCCCCAGCCCCTTCCGTGGGGAAGGCCCTAGTGACAGGAGCGGGGAAGCTCCTGCAGTGACCCAGACCGGCTAGGACTGGCCGGGGACACGGACCAGACCCCGGGCGCTCCCACAGCTTCCCCTGCGGCGGGGGCCTCCGAGCCAGGCGCACTCCTGCCACCGGCAGCCTCTGCAAGGCGCCGCCTGTGGGTGCGGCCGACCCTGCTGCACCCGGCCCTCGGCCCTCGAAGCCGCGAGGACCAGGGGTCCAGGCACCAGGCCCACGGCCCTGCTCGGTCCCCAGCGCCGTCCAGCTGTCCTTGGAGGAGCCCATGGAGGCGGCCATCCTCCTCAGCCTGGTCGGGGTCCGCAGCATCGTGGGGAACCAGTGGCCCACACTCCTGCAGCACAACGCTCTGCGCGCCACCCTCCTGTGGGAGAGTGAGCCCCGCCCGCGCCCCCACCCCGCCCAAGGGCCCCCCACTCTCCACCTTGCACCCCGCCCCTGCCCCCCACCCAACCTGTGTGCCCCCCCACCCTCCACCCCCCACCCCGCCCGCGCCCCCACCCCACCCAAGGGCCCCCCACTCTCCACCCTGCACCCTGCCTGCGGCCCCCCCACTCTCCACCCCCACCCCGCCCACGGCCCCCACCCACCCGCCTGCGCACCGCCCCCGTGCACACCCCCCCATCCTTCCACCCCCTTCAGCCCTCTGACCCTGCTCGCTCCTTCCCCAGGCCTGCTGGCCGCAGGCAGGCCCATCGGGAAAGCCGTCCGCCTCCTGCAGACCCTGGGAGCTGGCGATGTGGCCCAAAAAGGTGAGGGGAGACCCAGGCTTCAGCCCAGGCTGAACTGGGGGGCCCTTGGGGCAGGGCGCCGCCTACCCCCAGGGCAGCGATGTCCGCCTGGGAAGCTGGGCGCAGGGCCCGACGGGCTGAGCTAGAGGGGTGTCTGCCCTGCCCAAGAGCTGGGCGGGGTGGGGGTGCTTAAAGTAGCGAATCTCCGAAGAAGGGGCACAGCAAACACCGGTGCCCAGGGCCGGGGCGGTGCCCAGGGCGGGGGGGGGGGGGGGCGGAGAGCGGGGGGGGGGGGGGTTGAAGGGCAGGAGCGGGAGGGGCAGGGAGGGAGGCCGGAGGGGCGCCGGAGGGCGGGGGTGGTGATGGAGCACAGGGGTGCGGGGGCTGGGGGGGTGCGGGGACAGGCTCGGGACGCGCAGCCCAGCCCCCCCACCTGGCCTCCTCCACCCTCCGGCCCCCCCGCTGCAGCCGGCTCGGGCCCTGGTTCTGCGCTGGGCGGGAGGGACGAGCCGGGCCGAGTCCAGCCCTTGACCGGGATGTTTGTCAGGACGGGCCCTGGCGGCGGCCTGGCTGCCGGGCGCCGGGTCGGAGGGAGCGGGCGCAGCTCCAGCGGCCCCCTCTGCCTCTGCTCCCCTCCCGACCCGCCCTCGGGGGTCTCTGCCCTGACGCCTCTCCCCAGAGGAGACTCTCCAGACCTCCAAGGACCGGGCGGCACCCCTGCAGCCCCAGCTCGGCAGCTCCGCCCGGCTCCCCGCCGCCCTCAACCTGGTGCTGTACGGGCTGCCCAACGAGGTCGTCGGCTGACGGCAGGGGGCGCCCTCCCGCCCCCCCAGCGCCACCAGCCCCTCCTCAGACCCCGGCGGCGCCTGCCTCCTGCGCCCGCCCTCCCGCCACCCATTCCCGCAGGACCCTGGGGGCGGGCAGTGCCTCGGGGCTGGGCGGGGTGTGTGGGGCTTGCCCCCCCAGAGCCCTCCAGGCCCCCAAAGCATCCCGCCCCCCGCCCCCACCCCCGTGCCTTTCAGGCTGGGTCCTCGGTCCTGGAGCTGAGACAGCGGCTGGTGGTTTGGGAAGGCAGTGTCCGGGGACCCCCCTCATGCCCCGGTTCTCAGGAAACCTGGGCTCCTTGCTTCAGTAAACAGCCGGCGCAGAGCGAGCGGTGTGGCGTCTGACTCCGCGGGGGCGGGCGACCCCTGGCGCCGGGGCAGCCGGCACCCCTCCCGCAGCTCTCCGGGCCTGGGGGCCACCCCACCTTCGCAGAGCTGCCAGGGCCTCGGGTCGGGCTCCAGCGAGCTTTCTGAATTCGCTGCTGCCAACCTGGCTCCCACGGGTGGTCCAGTCGCCCTGGACTCTGAGGGCCGCGAGCCCTGCCCGCAGGGCCTCAGCCAGAGGGGAGGGCGGGGTGGGGGGTGGGGGGGGAGCTCTCAGTTCCTTGGGGCCGCTCTCCCCGGCCTTCTCAGCTCCGCGGGCGGGGCCCGTGTCCAGGCTGGGGCCTCACCCCCAAGACAGGGCCTCGCAGGCGTGAGCTCGCGCCCAGGGAGCTCAGGGCTCGGCCATGGGGGCTGGGGCGCGGCCATGTGGGTGCGAGGGGCCTCTTCTCCATCAGCCTCGGATGGGATGCGGGGAAATGACCCTGTAAGGGTCGGGGACAGGAAGGGGCCACTGGGCCGGATGCTCTGTCCTCCAAGAAGCCGCCACACACCCCTGCCCCCGGAGAGTGTCTCCACGGCCGCAGCGGCTGGGGTCCCAGCTCCATGCCCAGCTTTGACGGCCGGGCTGGCACTGAGGGCTGTCCCCACCTGACCCTCGGCACGCAGTTGTCCTCTGGGCACCACAAGTCGTCAGGACCTGAGGGTTTGATGGGGCTGCCCATGGCCCAGGGTGGCCGGGCCGGGCCCTCGAGATGGCCTCTGTTTGTCCCCCCGCTCGGGCTGGGGCTGCGAATGGATGGGTGGGGTCCAGCGCCCAGCACCCGTGGGTGTAGGTGGGCCAACCCCAGGGGCTGGCAGGAGTGCAGACCTGCCCACAGCCCCACTTGAAGGCGGGAGGCCGGGTCTGCGGGTCTAGACGCTCCCTCCCCGCCCCCAGGGCCTGGGCAGGCCAGGGCAGGGCCCCCCTCCAGTGCCGGCCCCCAGTGGTGGTCACACTGGACCGGCCAAGTCCCCAGAGGTGGGTGCTCAGCCAGACCTGAGCGTGGCTGTGGGAAGGGCAGACCCCACACGAGGGAAGGGCCTCCCAGGGCACAGGCCAGCCTGGCGTCCATGGAGGTCAGGCCAAGAGGCGGGTGGACAGGCCCTGTGCTCCTGAGTCTAACAGGTCAGCTGGCTCCGAGTCTCCCTGGGGTTTAGCCGGCCCTGGGTGGGGTGGGGTGAGAGCCTGGTCCCTCTGGACCCGGCCCTGGGTCCTGCGAGCAGCCCCTCGGACATGCAAGACTGGGGTCCTGGGGAGCAGGGAGCAACGGCCGGGACCCCAGGACAGGCGAGGTGTCCGCACAGAAGCCACATCCTCAGGCTGGCTGTCCCCAGGTGACCCTTGGGCCGTGGGCAGAGAGATGGCACATGGGTCCCGCGCCTGGGAGGCGGGTGGGGCAGCGTCTCACGCTGGCTGGGCCCTGGACACCACTGGCCAGGCCAGGCGCTCGGGGACCCCTGAGACGCGGGGTCAGCTCAAAGCCAGGGAAGAGTGCACACCACGGTCTTGCCCCGATGGTCGGTCACCAAGACGGCTCCACCCAGCGCAGAGGCCACACCAGGCGCAGAGGGCTGCGGAGAAGCTGGGAAGGAAGAAGCCGCAGACACCACCCGGGGCCCGGCCCCGGGGACACGCAGGATCATGCCAGAGGTGGCCACGTTCACAACCCTGCGCGTACAACAGCGTCCTCCCTTCCGGCAAGACCGGCGCGGCCCAGTGTCCCTCAGCCCTGGCGTCAGGCTCGAGTCGTCCAGGAGCCTCGCTGGGGGTGAACCATGTGTGCACAACGGGGTGGGGGGCATGGGGGGCCGGCTCAGGCAGGCCGGAGCGGCTGGGGTGGGGCACAGGCAGCGCTGGCCCACTCGGGCTCCACTGTGGCGGAGGCTGGAACCTCTGTGGGCGACGCTGCCGGCCCCCGCAGCCCTGGCGCCCGCTCGCCTGCCCGCGCCCGCTCGCCTGCCCGCGCCCGCTCACCTGCCTGCACCGCCCTGCAGCCCTGGCGCCCGCTTGCCTGCCCGCGCCGCCCTGCAGCCCTGGCGCCCGCTCGCCTGCCTGCGCCCGCTCACCTGCCCGCACCGCCCTGCAGCCCCGCCCGCTCACCTGCCCGCGCCCGCTCGCCTGCCTGCGCCCGCTCACCTGCCCGCACCGCCCTGCAGCCCCGCCCGCTCACCTGCCCGCGCCCGCTCGCCTGCCTGCGCCCGCTCACCTGCCCGCACCGCCCTGCAGCCCCGCCCGCTCACCTGCCCGCGCCCGCTCGCCTGCCTGCGCCCGCTCACCTGCCCGTGCCTGCTCGCCTGCCCACCTGCACACGGGGAGCCGCGGCCAGCCCAGCTCTCCCCACGGGCAGACACGGGGCGCTGGGGGCCCCTCACGTCGCTGCGGGCAGCTGGCCGAGGTGAGGCTTCCCGAGAGCCCGTGATGAGGTCCAGATCGGAGCTTCGAATCCCCCCCCCCGCGGGAGGGGAGCCCCGGCCCCCCCTGCCCGGTCGCCTCCCTGCAGGCGCGCGGACTCCGCCGCTTCATTTAAAAAAAAGCCCGCGCGGTGACCCGGGGTCGCGCCGCCCGGCCTGGAAACACGGGCCTTCCTGGAGGAGGCCCTGGCGCGCGCCCAAGCCCGCGTGAAAGCTTCTGGAAATATTTCACCGGGGCGCATCTGCTCCGCGGGCTCGGCCGGCCTTACAGGAACTTTCTGAGTTATGTCCCGGCAACATAACAAATCACCTTATCCATTAGCTCCCGCGGCCGGCGCGGCGATCCGCGATCCATCCCGGCGCGGACGAGCGGCCCGCGGGAAATTTATGTCACCCTAAAACAGCGGGCGGGGGCGGCGCACGGGGGGGAGCGCGAGGCCGGGGGGACGCAGGTGCCGCCTGCAGCCCGGGGGCGGGGGGGGGGGGGTGGGGGCGCCCCGGCCTCTGCTCCAGGCTCTGCTCCCGCCGGCCAGTCACACCCCTGGAAAGTGGGGGGCACCCCTGCAGGGGGGCGGGGGTGCGGCTGGGAGGGCGCTGGGCCCTCGGCTGCGGGCGCCCGGGGACCCGGCCGGGCCGGGGTGCTGGCAGCCTGCCCCCTACGGTCTCACCCCAGTGGGACGCCCGCGTCCACTGTTGTCCCTTTTGTAAAAGTTCTATTTATTTTCTTCATTTACTTCCTGAAAGGGGTGATTTTTAAAACAAGGAGTTTTATTTATTGATGAAAATCCATGTTTATTGTAGGAAACTTTAAAAATGAAAACGTAAAGGGAACCGTGCGCGCTGGGGTGCCCAAGCTCGGGAGGGGCTGCGGGGCGGGGGCTCCCCATTTCCAGGCCTTTAAAGCCTGTTGAAGCCCCGGTGGCTGCGAACAAGGAGGGCCAGTGAGCCCCGCCCGGGGCCAGGCAGGAGTGTCCGCCCCAGGGGCCGCAGCCCGTGCTCATCGCCCCAGGACAGCCCAGGCCCTCCTGGCCCCCGACCGTGGTCCTGGGCTCAGCCCCCCCACCCTGCGGGGGCCCGGCGTGGAGAGAGCAGGCCCAGGGCCGCCTCGGGGAGAGAAATTGGGCGGGTTAATAAAACGAAACCGTTCACGGACGCTTGTATATAAATTTCTATTAAGTCGCCTGGTCCAACGCTGGTCTCCACTAGTTTAATCTCTGTATTAAATAATTAAAGCTCTATTTTCAATTGCTGTGAACAATTGTTTTCCTTAATGATCTTCCTCGAGGAGCCAGTAATTTTATATCTTGTAAAAATGATTAACTGGCATCATTATCCAATCGCTTTGAAATATCACCCGGCAACTTCCAGCCAGGCCATTTCTGTTCAATTAAAGCTCCCTCACGAAGACACACAATGTCACTCCGCTCCTCGCCGCGCCGTCCTGGATTTTATGATGACGATGATGAAGATAGAAACAACCAGTTTAATTATCCCACTTCCCACGGAGAAATCAATTTTCATCGTCTCCACCTGCAGGGGGGCGGGGGTGCGGCTGGGAGGGCGCTGGGCGCTCGGCTGCGGGCGCCCGGGGACCCGGCCGGGCCGGGGTGCTGGCAGCCTGCCCCCTACGGTCTGGTCTCCCCGTGGCCAGGCCCCCCGCGGCCCCGTGAGGCCACCCCAGCACTCAGGGCAGTTGCACTGCAGCCCGAGAGGCCGGAGGGGGTTCCTGGCAGCCAGCAGGCGGCCCCCTCTGCCAGGGTGACTCAGGGGACGCACCCGGCCTGGCCACTCAATCACAAGGCGTGTTGGCCGACAGTGTCTAATTGTTTGACGTTTTTATCACAGTCCTTCAGAGCGGAGGGGGCAGGAGCCGCGCACGGGGCAGCAGCTGGGCGGGGACGGGGCTGCGGCCGACAGGGCTCTCAGATCCTCGCCTTCTAGATCTTAATTCTTTGTGAAGAGGCGAGAGGTGGAGTGGAGATAACGAGACGAGATGTGGTGGCCATTTCCTGCTGGTGCCCAGCACCCCACAGCCTCCCTGCTTCTCTGGGCACCCGCCCGGAACCAGGCCTGGGCTCGGAACCCCGAGAGCCAGACACGGGTGGTGAGACAGCCCTGGCTCGGTGGCGGGACCTGCTGGTGGAGAGGACCCGGGCTGCAGCCTCCTGGGCCGCAAGATGGCCACGGTGAGGGCCACAGGTGACGGCCAGTGATGGCCACGGGTGACGGGCCGTGGGTGATGGCCACAGGTGTTGGCCCAGGTGACAGCCTGGGTGATGGGCCCAGGTGAGTGTGCACAGGTGTCCGGCACCGGTGTGTCCCTCCTCTCTCACAGGCCCTGGCCTGGAGTGCCTCCCTCGGCCCTGAGGGAGCCGCTGAGCTGGTTCTGGGTGCAGGCCAAGCCCTCCCCTTGCGTAGGCCGTGGAGGGAAGCACCACTGGACAGCCGGCTGCGGGCGACCGGGGTGGGCTCAGGGGCAGGGTCCTGCGCAGGGT